GCTGACTGTTGTTCTTCCCGGGTCTCTTCCAGGTCCCTCTCGCGGTGGAACCCCATCTGGTGGCGGCGTTCTCCCGTCGTCCAAGTTTCACATGCACATGTTGTTGTTGTTATGTGCCGTAGAGTCGCCTGTGACTCATAGCAACCCTATGTACAACCTGTTTTTCTTTTTTTCATAACACTTAGACATTTCTATTCTATCTTATTTGTTATTTTTTTTTAATATCCCCTCCAACCTCATAAAATCCAGAAGGGTGTACATTTCTGGGTTTTTAATGCCTAAACAGCTTTAGGCATTCAGTTATAGTTGAATGGTTTTAGGGGACAAAATCATTTGTAATTGTCAGTTTGTGTTCTCTCAAGTTATTAAAATCTTTACATATATTTAGTCACTCATATCCTACTTTGTATGTCTTTACTCAAAAAATAGTTACTGCTGCCCTCTCTTCTGCCTTAAGGATATTTCTTTTTAAAAGCATCTTTTGGTTTAAAATCAGGAAAAGTGAGAATCAAGGTTGTATCTTTTCTTCATATCTGTTCTGTCTGTATGCTGAGCAGAGAAGCTGGACTATGTGAAGAAGACAGCAGAATCAGTGCTGAAGGAACACTCATTAATAACTTGCATTATACAGATGACATGACTTTACTTGCTGAAAGTGAAGAAGACTTGAAACACTTATTATCCAACACTATAGTCTTCAATATGGATTGCAACTCAATATCAGGAATGCAAAAATCTTCAACAGTGGACCAATATGTAGCATCGTGATTGAAGGAGAAAAGACTGAAGTTGTCAACAATTTCACTTTACTTGGACCTACAATCAACATCCATGGTAGAAACAGTCAGTAAATTAAGACATGTTGCACTGGGGAAATCTGCTGTCAAGGACCTTTCCAAAGTGTTAAAGAGCAAGGGTATCAGTCATTAAAAGACCTAAGGTGCACCTAATCCAGCCATGCTCTTTCCAGCTTCTTATGCATCTGAATGTTGGTCAATAAATAAGGGTGACAGAAGAATTGATGCCTTTGAATTGTGGGCTGGAGGAGAGCATTGAACATCCTATGGACTGCCAAAAGAACAGACAAGTCCTGTGGAGGAAGTGTAACAAGGGCTTTCCTTAGAGGCAAGGATAGTAAAACTTTGTCTTAGTAAACATATACTTTAAACATATACATATACTTTGGGCATGTCATCAGGAGGGACTAATCTTTTGAAAAAGCCATTATGTCGGGGAACGTGGAGGGGTTAGAACAAGAAAGGAAGAACCTCAACCTAGATGGACCGACTCAGTGACTGTAACAGTGAGCTCGAGTGTGTCAGAGCTGGTGAGGACGTGCAGGAGAGCAAGGCTCAGATCTGTTGTTCACAGCAGTGCTGTGAGTCAGAATCAACTCAGGGACACCTACCAACAACAGCCTTTATTTTGAGGGAATTTCCATACAGACTTTTCCCATTATTTCTGTCTCTTGGCCTTTATTTCTCAGTTTACTTAGAATCAAAATATTCAGGTACCTAGAATTCACTGAAAAGTCAGTGATCTTGTTCTATAGCAGTAGGCTATATTACCCTGTATCTTCTATGGATAAGTAGAAAGGAGGCAACTGTACTAAAAATTTTTTATGTATAATAGCATCCCAGAAGGGGCAAGGGAAGCTAAGATTGTAGACAAGACCTCCTGGTATAATTCCTATGTCTTGATATCATAGCTTGTATCTTTATTTCAGACATGAAACTTTTATTTTATGAACTCTAATTTACAAAATATGGTATTGTAGATATTTTTTGTAGAGTCTTTGTGTTAGGGACCTCTCCAAAGTGCTGAAGAGCAATAGTATCTCTTTGGAGACTAAGGTGCGTCTGATACAGGCCATGGTCTTTGCAATCACCTGTTATGCATCAGAGAGTTGGACAATGACCAAGGAGGATAGAAGGAGAATTGATGCCTTTGAGCTGTGGTGCTGGAGAAGAGGATTGAGAATACCATGGACTGCTAGGAAAACAAACAGATTTGTCCTGGAAAGGGTTAAACCGGGTGGCTCCTTGGAGGCAAGGATTCTGAGGCTCCGTCTAACATACTTTGGACATGTTGTGAGGAGAAACCGGTCCTTAGAGAGGGACATCATGCTTGGGAGGGTGGAGGGACAGCGCAGGAGAGGAAGGCCCTTTATGAGGTGGATTGATTCAGTGACTGGGGTAATTGGGATGGGAGTGTCAGAGACAGTGCGATTGGCACAGGACAGAGTGGAGTTTAGGGCTGTTGTACATAGGGTCGCTATGAGTTGCAGGTGACTCGACGGCACATAACAACAACAACAACTTTGTATGTACACCCCCTGCCACATACTGGAAATCCCCATTTTTAGTTATTCTATCTTCTTCTCATCAACTGTCAAAATACCCTACTTATCCTAATAATTCTTCACCTACATTATGTCTTCTCCAACTCCTTGTTATACTTTTTATATTTTGTGGAACTATGTAATGGTTTTTTGCCTTTGCATCCCTCACAGTATCTAGACTAGTGTTTTAAGTATAATAGGTACTCAGTATGTATTTGTGGTTTATATTAGTAAATGCCTGGGATCAACAGTTTCACTCTTGACTTTTAAACAGTTTCAAAACCATCTGTCACCCTAGTTATTTTTATTTCTTGTTATTCAGGTTAGCACATAACTTTGGTTCTGGTCTCCTTCTTCTTCCATGTGCAGAATGACAGGGTATCCACCCAGTTGGTTGTGAGCATCCGTTTCCAAGGAGATAAACGTCTCAGCAGCCTGCGCCGCTGTTGCTCTCTTACCCGCTATGATGCTCACAGGATGAGCCATGATGCATTCGCTGCCATCAAGAACTGTAATACCTCTGGAATCCAGACTGAATGGTAAGTGCTCTTTTAGCTTGTCTTCTTGGAAAAGATTTATGCCCTGCCTCAGCCTAAAATTAGTAAGCATCTGATCTCTTCTAGCTGGGGTTAGCTCTTGGTGACGATGGCTACCACCGCCAATTACAGAGGGAAATTACAGAGGGAAACAGCCATTCACTAAGGGAGGAAACCCAGTTACAGCTCTAGAAACAAGGCTGCTCAGCTCCAGCTTTCTTGCCCAGCATTTGGTGCAGGCTACATTAGAAGGCAGCTGGCCAACTCCCCCTGCCTGTGTCAGCCTGCTGGATAGTCAGAGAGATGGCCAGTTACACTTCAAGGACAAAAGTCAAGTTGTGACAATGTTGTTGTTCTTATGTGCCGTCGAGTTGCTTGAGACTCATACATTTGGGAATTTCTTTCAACTACTTGATTGTCCTGTTTTAAAAACATATTGATAATCTCTAATATCTTAACTAAATTATAAGCTGAAACAATGGTGAAACAAATGTCATATTCATTAATAAATTATAATTTAATTGCCCATGATATATAAACAAATATGAATTGCACTGGGAAAATCTACTGTCAGGGACCTCTCCAGAGTGCTAAAGAGCAATGATGTCAGTCTGGAGACTAAGGTGTGCCTAATCCAGGCCATAGTCTTTGTAATTACTTGCTATGCATCAGAAAGCTATACAGTGACTATACATGATAGAAGAATAACTGATGCCTTTAAGCTGGGGTGCTGGAAAGAGTATTGAATATATCATGGACTCCTAAGAGAACAAACAGGTTTATCCTAGAGAAGGTGAGACCAGACTGCTCCTTGGAGGCAAGGATTCTGAAGCTCCATCTGACATACTCTGGGCATGTTGCAAGGAGGGACATCAGTCTTGGGAGGGTGGAGGGACAGAGCAGGAGAGGAAGACTCTGGATGAGATGGACTGACTCCATGGCGGGGTAATGGGAGTAGGTTTGTCAGAGATGATAAGGTTGGCTCAGGGTAGAGCAGGGTTCAGAGCTGTTGTAAACAGGGTTGTTAAAAGTTGCAAGTGACTTGATGACACATAACAACAACACACAAAAAAAGTATCTTTTTTTTCCAGTGTGTTAATTTACTGTATAGGTAGCTCTGATTTTTACAATTAGAATCTTTTATTTAACAAGAGGGCTATGGTGGAGGATTCCACAGTGAATTCTGCTGCTAATCCAACGGCTGCACAAATCCAGCAGAACCTCTGAAGGCAAAGGATGGGCAGTCTCCTTGGGTGGGATTTACAGCTTCAGAAACCCAGTGGAGGGCCAGCTAGGACTTGGTTCCCACTTGATGGCAGTGAGCTTGAGTTTCATGTTATTTAACATATCCTATTAAATTGAAAAAGGAGCCGTGGGAGTGCAAAAGGAGCTCTGATGGCTTAGCGGTAAGGAATTGGCACTGCAATCCCAAAGGCACATGGTTCAAATCCACCAGCTGCTCTTCAAGAGAATGAAGGCAGTCTTCTCCTGTGCAACTTGCTGCTGCTTGAAATTCTAGAGTATTTACCAACCAGATAAAAAAAAAAACAACGGGGGCAACAACAACAAAAATTCCAGAGTATATGATAGGGTATTATGATTATCACAGGAATCCAGAATTAAAGTTACATAGTGGAGTACATTCGGGACGGGGGGATTGTATACCAATGAAGACATTTATCTTTTGCTTTTCAAAGAGAGGAACGAACTGGGGGGTGGGTAGGAAAAAAAGTGCAACAATGAATGAATGAAAATCCAAAATCTCTGTGAATGTTCATTAACATTAATAAAATTTTTTTTTAAATTCCAGAGTAGAAAACATGTCAGACATGATGAGTGGTGCTGTTAAAAACAGAGACATAAGTAAAAGCATTTGGGGAGAATTTCAATCTTTCAAGTCTAAATATTCTAAGACTTCTTTTTTATTTAAAAACTTGTTTTTCCCAAGCCTTAACTGTAACAGCTCTCTGCAGTATCTTTAGATAGACAGATGGACAGATGGATAAGGTAGATAGATTCTACTCCGCTATCAGGAGAGCCGTGCTGCTTAAGGTAGATAGGTGGACACTGAGTAATTTATTCTCAAAAGTGGGATTCCAGACCATCAATACCAATTAAGAACTTGTTAGAAAAATGAATTCAGGTTTACTGAATCTGTATTAGTATCCACGTACACAGTACCATTTGAGTGCCACTACAGTCTATAATGATTATGTACAATCATTTTCTCTTGTGGCAGAACTAAAATCTCAATCATTACGAGTGAAATCTGTCCTCTGAAAAAAGAATTCTGGTGGCCTGCTCTGAAGAGAGCTGCACTGCTAACCCAGAGGTGGTGGCAGTCCTAATCCACCAGCAGTTCCTTGGGAGAAAGGTGGGCAATCTCCTCCCATGCTCTTTACAGCCACCGAAAATCCTGGAGGGTCAGGTTGAGTCAGTTCCAACATGATAGCAATGAGTTGGAGGTGGTGACATTTCCCCCCTTTTTAAACTCTAAAAGAGCAACCTAGTGCTAATCTTCTTGTCTCTTTACTTTGTGCACAGGTCCCCTCCCCTCACAATGCTTTTCCTCTGTGCTACCAAATTCTCTGCCTCTGCCCCTTCATCTTGCACAGACATCACCAACTTCTTGAGCAGTGACTCAAATTCTCTGCTAAAGCTTCCAGTTACCAATTCAGAAGCTAGCACCCAGGGAAGTGGCCCATCAGTGACAACCACCAAGAAAGCAACTAGTTCTTTGGAATCATTCTTCAGAAAAGCTGCCGAAAAGCAGAAAGTCAAAGAAGCTTCACTTCCATCTCGTACTCCCACCACTCAGAATCCCACGAACAATTCACCATCCAAACTCTCAGCGTTTTTCCAAAAGAGTCAGACCAAGGGAATTGAGCCCTTTTTTAAGCAGAAATGTCTGGAAGCCCTAAAGAAGCAAGCACTTCATAATCCTTCAGTTTCCTGTCTGACACCAAATCCAGATTATGAAGATGTATTGAAACCAGAATCCTCTGAAACAGTTTGTGCAGAGATGGGTTTGGCCCAGAGCAGCCCAAGCAGGCTTGCTCCTTTCACTTCCAAGTCTGCGGTGGACGTGGCTCCAAAGGCAGCTACTACTCCGAGTTTGTTGGATGCCGAAGACCAAGTTTCCTGTGACAAGTGTAGCTCCCTGGTGCCAGTATGGGAAATGCCAGAACATATGGACTATCATTTTGCATTGGAGTTACAGAAATCCTTTTCACACCCTCAGTCCCCAAGCCCCCAGGTGGTTCCTGTGGTTTCTCCTCAAGGCAAAAGAAATCCCAAGAGTCCTTTGGCCTCCAGTAATAAAAGGCCTCGGCCTGCAGGCATGCTGACATTAGAATCATTTTTTAAACCTTTAACACACTAGTACTGACCTCTAGGCTTGCTGCAGCAAGTTAATATTTTATCTATAACCTGGGAGATGGAAATCTCTTAAGGAAATCTATTAACTTTATGAAATTTTTAATAAGAAAATAATTAGGTGCAAAGTTGAGGTTCCCATCTCATTTTCAGCATGGATTCTAACCCCATGTCTGATAAAGATATAAAAATCCATCTTCAGAATTTAGGGAGCCAGTGTCACACAGTAAAAACAGTGTGTCAAGGGACCATGCAGTCCAAGTGACTTGGTTCTGCTTAGCATCTGCCTCTGTGCATATATGGCCTTGAGCAAGTTCCTTTCCTTGTCTGTAAATATACTGAGAATACTATATAGATTATTGAAGGTTACAAATAAAATCCTTAAAGTGAATAGCTTAAAATTGCCTCTAAGATGGGATGGAACAAAAAGTTTTTAAAGTTTCCTATTAACTTTGTGACAGGAGAGTTCTTGACCCCGACTGTATTTTCAGTTTGAAAATGGACAGGGAAGAGTTGGAACTTTAACGTGATATGATACATAGTGTAGGACAGGGCTGTGTACACAAAAGCTACTCAAATTCTGAATTTCATACAGGTAAACCTTATTATAAAGCAGCTCTGGTCGTATGCCATTTAAATGCTCACCTGGCAATGGGCTTCCATAAAGATTGCTGTTTATCATAGTATCAACTTATAGAGACAGAACTCCATGTGACACAAGACTGCCCCATACGGTTTCCTCAGTTGTATTCTTTACAGGAGCAAATCCCTAGGTCTTTTTGCCCACAAAGCTGGTACGTTGGTTTGGAGCACCAACCTATCACTGAGCAGCTAACTGCTTAATTGTTGTACCTCCAGAGCTGCTTTTGTAAAGATTGTTGTGTTGTGTCTCACAGCGGACCCTCCTGCAGGTTTTCAGAGGCTGTAAATCACATGGGAGATTTCTAGGCTTTCTCCCTCAGAAAAACTGGTGGATCCAAACAAACTGCATCCCCATGTATTGAGTACGGCTTAGCACTAGACCAACAGAGTTCCAAGAAAACCCTATTGTTTTCTCCTCTGCCCCATAGGGTCACTGTGTGTTGAAAATTGACTCAACTGCAAATAACTGCAACAAACCCAATTATGGCTGCAGTCTCGGCTACTGACCTTCCAGCTTCTGTATTTTGAGATTGCTGTTGAACCTGTTCAGACACTGTTTAGGTTGGGTAAGCCATGATCAAAACTGTATAATTTCTGTAATCTTCCTATTGTACTGAAGAACAGTAACATCAGCATCACCAGAGAGCTTGCTAGAAATAGCCTCAACCTTACCCCCAAATCAGAATTTGGATATTAGTTATTAATATTTCCAAGTTATTAGTTATACATTTCCAGGTTATTAGTCTGGAAATACTAACCTAGAAGATACCAAAGTCCAGGCTTGTCGTGGGCAGTAGCACTTCCTTAAACTCTAAAATGCAAATGTAAGTGCTCAATGTTTAAGTCCTTAGGGTCACTGGCATGTGAGGTGAGGGGACTATTCCTCTCTTCCTTATTGCAGTGTGAAAATTGTCAAAATTCACTGTCACTTTTCATCTTAATACTTACAGTATTGTTTTTAGAGTGGAGTGGTGGGGAGAATAATTAGTATGAGAAAAAAGGGCACATATACCTTTCCTTTCGTATATAGACAAACCACCCTCAACTTTTTTTAGCTTATTTCTAAATTAAGGAGGGAGAGAAGATGTCTGTTTATTTTGGGTCCAGCATAAAACAGTTTTTGTTTGCCTAAACATCTTCTGCTTTTATGGAAATCTAACTTTAAATATCTAATAAAAATTAGTGGTGTACATGCTCTTTTCTGTACTAGACTTATGGCTTCATGAAGGCAAGAATTCTTCACAGTGCCTTGCATATGTTGTTGTTATGTACCCTTGAGTGAAAATCAACTAGTTGACCTTCCAAGCAGGTTTTCAGAGGCAGTAAATCACATAAGGAGCCTGCTCATGTTGCCCGCAGACAGCTAGCTGCAGCTGGTGGATTCAAACCACAGGTCTTTGGGTGGGTAGCACATCATCTTATTAGGAGGCCACCGGAGTTCCAAGAAAACCCTCCCTTTGCATATAATAGGTACTTGCTATGCATTTCATGAATGCATAGTGAACAATTTTAAATCTGATTATCAAAACAGAAAATTAAAGAAAAATAATAAAGAGTAAAGCGAACTTGGAGGGGATTAGGGAGGAAAAATGTGCAACAATTAATGAATGGAAATCCAATTTTTCTGTCAACTTTTGTTAAAGTGTCAATAATAAAGAAACATAAACCAGAAACAATACTGAGGAACCTGCCCCAAACAACTTTTTATATTTCCGAGTGTTCCATAAATATAAGAAGTTGGCCTGTTAGTTCTAAGAGGTATCTCAAGAGTTGTTGGTTTTTTCTCAAGTTTTCTTTTCCTTAGGAAAAAGAGAAGTGATTATAAACCAAGCAGCTTGGGTGAAACATTCATCGTTTTGATGTGCTACATATCAAGTAAATTGCTCCACCTCTGTTTCTCCCACATAGCATCATGTAGGAAGGTCACACAATGGAAACTTGTATTTCACTAGACTTTGTGTCAAGGAGAAAGCTGGCAGGTGATCAGTAAGGAGGGATCCTCAGGATGGCTTGTTTTCTTGGGGAGTCCAACTCCACCCATTGCCAAGTGAAGGTCAGTGTGAGGTTAAAACTATAGTATCTTTTTTGCTGAATAGAACCTTTACTTCTAATAGCACAGAGAGAAGTAATGGGTTTTTAGTTTCAAATCAGGAAGCTTATCAACCACAGGCATCAAGTTAAATCAGTAACATTTTTAAAACCAGCTGAACCTGAGTGGTAGGGAATCAACAGCTTAGTTTCAGAATGGGATGATAAGATTGTTAAATTTCTTTTGCCAAGCTTCTCCACCTTTTGTGTGTGTGTGTGTGATAAATCAGAGACTCTGAAACCAGGACAGACACTAAAATTCGGCCTGCTGGCCCTAACAATTTCAAGAATCCAGTTTAAGGTCTGTAAGCCTCACTTGAGGACACTTGTTATTGGTAAGAAAGTGTGAAGAGCCAAATTACAGTTTGTAAATTCTACTCTTCTGTAAGCAGCTGGCCCTCTAATCTCAAAATCTCTTGACAGTGTTAGTTTCAGGGCACAGTGGAAAGGCTCCTTATTTCAGCTGAAAAGGGTGAGTTTCACGTTCTACTCTGCTAGCTCAAAGCACCATGCAAAACAGGTTGGAACACTTAACTTGGCTCTAGACCTGGAACACTGACCTGTGTCGGTGACACTTCTGCATTCGAGGTTAGAAATGTTGGACTTAATAATAAACTTAATAGCCTCTGGAGGCTAAGCCTGTATCTTAAGCATAAGCACAGTGTATCCAAGAAAACATTTTTATTCTGTACAATATATGTGTGTGTATATATATATATATTTTACATATGTATTTATATATATGCAGAGAAACCTCTACCAACAAATCCCTGCAGAGAAACCTCTACCAACAAATCGATGCTAACAAAGGGAAAAGGGAGTCCATGCCCTGCAGAGTGGCAAATATGGCAACAGCTCTCCCTTTCCTCCTGGTTCCCTGCAACAGAGGGAAGGGCATGGTCACTGCAAATTAGTAAAATGGGAAGACTTTGTGGGAGCAAGAAGAGTGGGAGGGGTGGCAGGTGAGTAGCTGTGGAGGTCTCCAGCCACTAGTTTGGGTAAGTAAAACAATACTATTTGATCCAGCATTAAAACCATTAGATCACAGCAGATCCTACAGGACAAGACTGACATGCAGCTGACCCTCGGTATGCCAAGCCTTACGCTTGGCAGCCCCACGCCTGGGCCAGCACAACAAATAGCACCTGTGGGGCCTGAAGGAGGAACTGGGGAGATAAAGCTGAGAAGCAGGCCACGGGGTGGAAGCACTCCCATTCACTGTTCTGTGCCATTTCTTCAAGCCCTGGGCCACTGGTGGCCAGGAACTAGTTTCTTTTGTCCACAGTCAGGTAGTGATGGGCAATATACATGGCCTTGAGGTATAGAAAAAGGAGTGCTTTCAAGGACCACCCCTAGTTGTGACAATTCCTGAAGTGCAAGGACCACATTGTGGATCACGCTCAAGTCCTAATAGTGGGGCCAAGATGGCCACAGCTCCATCCAGCAGACAGGCTACGGAGTCATCCTGGTCGATGAGTCGGTTAGGTGGGCGCACAGCTGTTGAGCACTGCCCTGAATGCTCCTTCCTTCTCCCTCAGCACTGCCCCTCCCCTGGCCACACTAAGCTTGGCACCTCTCCTGGCAGGTGGTAGGGTACAGGGGGCAAAGAGCCCCTCTCTCCCCCTAGCCTATTAACACACAAAGCCGCCAGCAGAGGGCAGCATGGCCAGAAGTCAACTTGTGTATTGTGGGGACGGCCACATCTGTCCCTACACTGGGGTGCTCAGAAGCCCATGTTAGCCTGGGCCTCACCAGCTGCAATGGCTTGCACATCAGTGACATGGCCGATGCCCTTGGTGACACCCTCCCGGAACAGCAGCTTGGCGCCCACCTTCAGGTACTCTGGGTGTTTCAGGAAGCGGAAACGTACCACTGCCTTCTCCCCTGTCCGTAGCTTGTCCTGTAGCAGATAGGTGGTCACTGAACATTTCATGTGTATAGTCATTGCTCACCACCCTCAGGGGGTCTCGTGGGACTTTACCCACCCCAAGTGGGGCATTCTGTAAAATCAGGGAGTTCTGCAAGTCTGAGGTCAATGTAGGAAAATTGTGACTGCTCCTGGGAAGAATGGGGCATGGCCTGGGGTCCCTCTCACCTTGGCATGAATCTTCTCCACCACTGCTGTCTGGCGGACGTTGCCGACGTGTACTGTTACCTGGAAACCTCGCCGAAAGGTGGTGGCATGGAACAGCAGGACTATTTCTGCCTCAAACACTGAGCAGATGGTGGGATTCATCTCGGGACTCACCATTACCATGCCCTAGGGAGACACAGCCCCCAGGCCCAGGAAGGGGCCTAGCATCAGGTCTACTTTCTACACTTATGCCCTTTTATGGCATCTGAACTTCCTCTTCTAGAACTCCAGATAGTACCTCAGAAGGAAATACACTTTGTAGAGGGAATCCTTTCTTACCCACTTCCCATGTGTTCAAACCCCTCTAGCCCTTGGTACTATTACAGTCCTGGACATTCAGATGCCACCACAGTAATGCAGATTTGGTGATGTGCCACTTTATAAGTATTCTAATACTTTTCATATACAGACAGTCTATGTAACAGACCATAGCCTTCTTAGCCACTCTGTAGCTAGTTTCCTGGGCACTTTTCTTAATGTTCCCTCCCACTTGCCCACCCACCTCACCTTTCGAAGCAAAGCACGGTCAAAGTCCCCAAGAGCCAACGTTGCAGCCTGACCAGCTCGCAGCACGCGACAGGCAGAGCGGTTGCGCTGAATGCTGCATACTCTCAGCTCGAGGAAGCAGCCATCGTCTGTGGGGCCCACCACCAGCTGGTCCCCTTCACGGCAAATCCCACTGCAGACCAGAGGGCAGGTGGCACAATGTGAGCCTAGGCCCCCCGTCTACTACTCGCTCAGGGTCACCTAGAGCATTTCTTCCTTTCTAAGGTTGATCCTGGAGGTGAGGGAAAAGGGATCCTGAGTTCAGAGTTGGGGCAGCGCTGGAGGGGAAATGATTGCCACACCCTTTTCCAGAGTGCACACAGAGAAGCCAAAGAGGTGGAAGCTGGTTGACAACACTGAAAACCTGATCTTAAAGGACCGAGTTCCCCCTCAGGTTTTCTCCTCTGCTTTGAACCGCTCACTTTCCCCACTGTGAGATGAAGTCAGGTGAGTGCACCCTGGTTTTCTACCTGGGGCCCAAGATGCACACAGCACCCCCTCAAGGGCCAGAAGATGCCCAGTAAGCAGCAATACTCTTTCTTCCCACACAAGCCAACAGAATAGCTTTGTCCTGCTTTTCTGATAGTGAAAAACCTAATCTGCAAACAAGTCCATCCTTTAAAAGGCCTCTGTTTAATTCCAGGCTCTCATCCTTTGGACACGTCTTCGTAAGTATGAGGGTGCGAGCTGAATGGGATGGTTTGCAAGCAAGGCAACTCACCTGGAAAGTGTCCCACCGACAACAGTCCCCACTTCTGGTACTGTGTAGATTTCATCCACCTAAAGTCCAAAAAGACCCTATCAACAACTGCCTAACAAGGCTGGCAAATCCAAGACTTTGGGGCTAGTCAGAAATGGCCTTTTTCTGTCCCACCACTCACTGTTCAGGTGGTCCACTACCTGGAACTCTGTCAGCTGCTGCATGAGCTCCTCCTGCTCTTTGCTGTTGGTGAGTGGGGGCAGGATGTTCAAGAAGACTTTGAGCAGGTCCAGACTTTCTCCAGATACACTGGATAGTGTGAAGATAGGGGTGACACTGGAGGAGGAGGCATTGAATGGACTGATTAGTTTCAACAGAATGCAAGATGAGGGCCTACACCTGAGAAGGTGAGCTGCTCTCTGTGTGGCTGAGGACCCCTTCTGTCTGCTAACCTCCTCCATGGAAGCTCTGAATTCAACCTCTGTGAAGCTGCACATGAAGCCCATCCAAACCATAAGTGAGGTGGTGAATGCCTGACCTCTTTGTCCTAGAGTCCTGAGTGTTTGCAAACCTCCAGGGTGTCTCAGAGTGAGAGCTAGACAAGGCTGAGCTCAAGTACTTCAGCACTAAGAAGCCCTTCCACAGTCTCAAGCTGAAGAACCACAGAACTGAGAACTGGACTAGGCCTGGGGACAGGAGAGCAAGCTTCTGGGCACTAGACCCTTGGGGGAAGCATTCTCTATGGGCCAGAATCGGATGAGACAGGCTTACTTTGGTGACTGGGCAAACTGTTGGGCAGCAGTGACAGCATCATCCTCGGAAGTGACCAGCATGGGGACCTTGTGGCAGCCAGGCTGTTTGAGGACCCGCTCCAGCTGGCGTACTGTCCTCTCTACTGTGGTCTTGGCACACAGATCTACCTTGCTGACCACGACGAAGAATGGCACTTTCAGGGCCAGGGCCAGCCCCAGATGTTCCCGTGTGGTGCCGGCTGGCTCAAGAAGGCAGCAATGAGAGAGAAGAGTGAGTGTGGACGTGAAGAAAAGGGGACGTAGTCTGGCTCCCAGACCTGAGAGTCCACACTTGTTGCCCCCTCTCCCGCCATGTGCCTGCCCCCATGCCTCATACCAATCCCAGTGTTGGCACTGACGAGGAGAAGGGCACAGTCAGGGCAGTACGAGGTGAGGCCAAAGATGGTGGTGTGCAGGTACTTGTGGTGGCCTGCTAGGTCGATGAAGGTGATCATCTTGGAGCTGCTCTCGCAGATCTCCTCCGCCGTCCGGGAGTCGCTGTAATTCACCACCTGGCCCAGGGCCGGGGGCTTTTAGTGCCCACTGCTGTTCTCTGCCAGGGCCTCAACTGGTCCCTGGATGACACTACCTCTTAGCCCTCAGCCCCATTTCTGGTTTAATTCATTTGTTTTCCAAGAGAGCGCTTGTTTAAAAACCCACCAGGCCCTTCATCTACACTATTCCATTAAGTCCCCACACTCTACCCACATCCTTCCCCTCCAGCACCCCATCCTGGAGGCTGACCACACTGGGTCCCGCTGATTGCATGCACCTCTCCCTTGCTGTTAAAGCCCAAGATCTCGAAGCTGATGCTCGAAGTTCGGCCAGACTGAATCTCATGTAGGTGTCGGAAAAGGTTGAGGCGAGCCCGGCCCCGTCCATTGTCCAGCTCTCCTTGGGTCAAGACGCCAAGCAGAGTTGACTTCCCTGAGTCCACATTCCCTAGGACGGCCACGCGGAGGTCCAGAAACTGTGGAGGAGGTGCCAGGGGTGAGGTTCTCTCCACACACGGATGGCTCAAGAGCAGTGATGCCCCCCTGGGGAGCAAGCAGTGAGCTGGACGCCAGTGGAGAGTCTGACACCACTGAGCCCTCCCCGGGAATGTGAGCATATGTGGGGGTGGGGTCGGCAGGGTGTGAGCTTCACCTGTTGATTGTCAGGCACCTTTCGCACCAGCACCTCGGTGATCTTCCGGGGCACGTCGCTGTCATAATCTACTTCTCGCTCCCGCAGAACTGTGATGTCTGCCCCAACCCTGTCACGGCAAAGCCAGAGCTGCCATACCCAGACTGCCTCTGAACCACTGACCTCCCCATGTCTCACATAGATCACCCCTCAATACCACTTATTTCCAAGACCCTCCAGTCTAGCCTTGATCCACAACTCTCAATGAGAAGGAAAAAATCTTAAGGAGCAGAAAACCCTAGGTTTAATGATAAGACCTCAGAAGCCTATCCCTCCTCTCTTTAGCCTTTTGCCAAGAAGGTAACAGAAGCAAAGTCCCACCTGGACCCCTCATGTCTAGGGGACCGGATACATCTGGGCCCTCCCTAGAGTCAGGTAACAGTCAAGGGGGAAAGGAAAGCATACTTCTCTGCCATCCGGTGCAAGGTCTTGAGGGAGGCCCGCATCTCTTCCTCCGCCAGCCCCACCAGCAGCCCGTTGTCCTCCACCCCAATCTGGTAGACCGCCTCACCGCGGCCCTCCTGGAGCCGCCACTTCATCTGTGTCACCAGGTGCTCAAAGCGGTACTGGGATGGATTCACCAGCTTCAGCTTAGGGCAGGTGAGGTATCACAAAAAGGTGGAATCAGAAGTGTTCCTCCTAGACCCATGCTCCCCAATTATCTCATGAAGAAGACACGAGCCCTCCCTACCCCCACAAAATTCCTTCATCCCTGACTCCCTCTAACAGTGAATTCCACTCCCCAAAGGAATGAGGTACAGGGTCCTTTCCCTGAACCATGGCCCTAAATTGCTACAGATCAGGAGTTGGGCAGAATCTTAGAGAAATGATCCCACACAGGTAGACTCCCCCATCCCTTGTCCCTCCCTAGCCTAAGACTCACTTTATATTCGATGTTTCCATCTTCCGCCTGAAAAGAAACAGGTAGCAGTTACCACACACACCATATGGACCCAACTCCTACTTCCCGATTCCTTTTTTTTTTTTTTAATATTTATTTTGTGTGTACCGTCAAATCAGATCTGACTGGTACAGGAGGAGACTGTTCCTCCTCCAGCAGAGCATCTGGTGGAGTCTACTTCCTGATTCTTAGTGGGGGGCCCCCGGCAGGTATCCCGAGAGCAAGAAGCTCCAGTGCCTCAGCAAGCACCTGCCAAGGTCAGTGGCAGACAAGCCCTCTATTCAACGTAACATGACCAGTGAAGGATCTCTGAGGAAACAGTGAGTCTCCAATAAAGCCAGGAACAGAATGCCAAGTTCTTCCTGTCTTCAACCAGTGGCAGCCTGTTCTTACCAGATCCAAGAACATCTTCCTTCTTTCTGGGACCTCAGACTGCTATCTCCAGAAGCCACTGTATGTATGCCCAAGCTACCCAGGCATTTATTTGTTTACTTTTTGCCACTAGTCTAGGAGACACTCCTTCCTTCCTGTCCACCATTCTTGGCTGATGTCATTAAGAGTAAGAGGCTGCAAGAAGTTCTGGACCTGGGCCAAATGGTGAGCTCAGCACTGGTCACTATAACCTTATGAGAGAGAAGCCTGAGTGGGAGGGGAGCAGGGCTCCAAAGTTGGGGCTGAGATGAACAGAAGGATGAAGGGGGAGACTCCATACTTATATAAGACTTAAAATGTTTTTTAATCTCCTTCCCCAAATCCTGGTGCCTCAGATGAGGTAAAATCCTGAATCCCCCCACAATCTTGTCCCTCTTCCCTAAATCAGGTGACCCATCATAGGAACATCTTGTTGCCTGAAGCCCACTCGCCTACCCCCGCTTTACCTCCACTGGAGTTTGGAGGATCATCAGCTCTGTCCTGCATTTCTTTATTTTGATGAGAGGAAGGGGCAATGTTAAAAAAAAAAAAAAAGCCCCAAAGCAACAAACCCCAAACTGAAATAATTCACATACTATCAAGTTCACAATCCTAGTATGCATATTTAGTGAGTTCCAATAGATACCCAGAGTTGTACAACCATCACCACTAATTCCAGAAAGTTATCATCCTCAAAAGAAATCCCATACCCTAGGCAGTCACTCTCTGTCCTCCTCAGACCCAGACAACCACTAATCTACCTCCCGTCACTATGGAGTTACCTATCCTGCCAGTTCGGAACTGGGCACTCCTCCTTCCTCTTAGAATGCCATCCTTTCTCAGCCCTCTGGCTCTAACAGGTCTTTACCCATAACTTCACCTCCTGAAGCACGAGATCTTTTTTCCACTAATAAAGATGCTCTGGAAACTGTCTTACGAACACTTTGTTGAGTATAGAACATCAGATGGGTGACTTCAGAAAAGTACTACAAAAATGATGGTCCAGATCAGTGGCCCTGAAAATGTGGTCTTGGGACCTGTAACATCAGCATCACCTGGGAACTTGTAAGAACTGCAAATTTCTCAGGCCAATCTGGGTCTTAACAGACACAATTCTAGAAATTCTGGACAAACCTAATGATTCTGATGCAAGCTGAAGTTTGATAACCTTGGATCCTCCTGTCCAAGCAAGAGAGGGGAGATGGGGCAGGTGTGTGTGGGCAACTTCTTTGTTTTCCCCCACTTGCCTCCTAAGAGGGCATTTCCCTCTGGTTGTATGTGTACTGGAGAATAGGGAGAGAACACACTGCTCCACACGGTGGAACACGTCTGAAAAAGTAGTGGTTACTCTGCCTACCTTCTCATCCCAGGATGCAATCAATCCCCCTTTACTTGCCACAGCACAGGGAGTGTCAGGGCAGCCTACTCTGCTCTTCCCAAAGGGACGGTAAGGGGAATCTTCTCTGCTCCCTTCTCCTCCTAAGGGAGTGCAGAGACATCAGAAGGGAAGTCCAGTTTCTCTGTCCCTCCTCCTTGGGGTCTCGGGACCGGAAGGCGGGGGGGGGGGGGGGGGGGGGGGGGGGGGGGGGGGGGGGTGGTCTCCTCTGCTGCTCCTTCCATAGGATCTTGACATTTGGAAGGGGGGATTAGTTCTCTCGGCTCCTCCTCCCAGGGGTCCCGGAACCGGGAGGAAAGGTCTGCTTTCATTCCGCCACTTCTTATGTGCTCACCTCGGGGGGCAGGTACGGAGGATTGTTGGCTTTGCCTCCTCTGTTCCTTCCGTTCTTCTTCTTCCCCTTCGGGCCCCCGCAGACGCTGCTGCCGCCGGCTCCTCTAGCCTTGAGGGTTCCGCCTACGGCCGGGCCCCCTCCGGGCCGGCAGCAGCCGCCGAACAGCTCCGATACCCGCGAGTCCATCCGCCACTGCCGCCAGCCCCCTGCCCGGTCCCTCCCCCCCCGCCGCCGCTGTCCCCACCGCCGCCTCTACAGCCACTGCCGCGTCGGGCCAGCCAGAGAGCGGAGCGGGGTGGGGCCCTGTGCTTGTCACGCCCCCACGCCCCGCCCCTGGCCTCCGGGTCGCGTCAGAAACACTTGCGCGGCACCACGGGATATGGAGTCCCCAGGTCTCCGCTTTCCCTCAAAAGAGCCCGTCTCTGCACTACAACTCCCAGGAAGCATCGCGGGGTAAGGGGTTGCAGGAGGCTTCACGACGTAGACAAGTAGCGCGCCTTTGCGTGCAGAGGCCCAAAAGTCCGGTCTCCTGCTCCTGGTGTCGGAGCAACTCTTTCGTAGAACCTGGGGAAGTTTAGAGCCCGCAGCCTAAGGAATGATCGTGCACAGGGGTCGCAAGGTTCACTACATTAGAACTGAGCTTTGTAGGTGCTGCTGGGCCTGGCCTCTTAAACGAGTATTCATCCCAGCAACAGGTTTTTCAGATCCAGAAGGCTACTGAATTAAGGGCGACTGGATCTCCAATCTTTTAACCCCTCCCTTGATTCAGTTTCTTCCCTGACGGTCGACATGCCGTCGGGGTGAGTCAGGGCGAATGCCAGGGCGGGAGCAGATGGTGGTTAGCCATAATTAGGCTGTTATTGTTGCGATGATTATGCCACCTTTACATAGTAGTCACTATTTTATTGCCAGAGCTGGCATCAGTTGGAGTTTCAGCACCCCGAGGCACCACAGTGGCCCCAGCACAAATCCCGAACCCATAAATCAGCTGTGATGCCTGAAGGGTACAAGAATGCCTGCAGCTAAGACTCCCCTCCCCTTTGTTTTGAAGACTAACCAATCCGGGAGAACCAAGAATGATTTTTAAAAACTGAGAGGCTGTAGGAGGGGTTTGGCCTCTCTTTAGGGCGGGGCTGAGGCTCCGGTTACATCTGCTGGGGTGAAGGCGGGGAAGCGGCTGGAAATAGAAATTTGGCCCAAAGCCACTGGAGATTGTTGACTTTTGACTTTCTTTCCAAGCCATCTCTTCCTCTTCTACTCTTTAGGGCTTCAACAGCCAGCAAAGCAGAAACACATTCAGTAACACAAACCATTGTACAAAACGTCTGAAAGGTGAGGTTGAGAGTCGGTTAGCTTTGCTGGACTCAAGTCAAGACGCTTAGGTTCAGTTTTCAGCACCATGGTAGTCCCGTGACTCACAACTTACCTTGTTTCCACTCCTGGCTTCATAGGTGCTCGAACGGAGCCAAACCCCCAAAACTTCATACTAGATTTCGTCGGAAATCTAGAAGCAGCATCCGCCGCTTACCTCTGGTGATCTCCTCAAGGATTCAAGCTTGGTGAACTCCATGGTTCTGCCCAGTACCTCAAGGAAAGACACAGGTTCTTGATCCTGTAGTTGTTATTCACATGGCATAATTCCCCAAACAAATGAGACCGAGAAAGGGAAAAATCATCCAATTCAGCCAATTGGTTAAAAGTAGATTAAAGAACCACCACCGTATGACTTCTCAATCCTGTGCCGTTGAGAGAAGAGCTATGCTGCAGAGGTCAACCTCCACCAGGAGCATAACCCCACTGGAGAAACTTTAAGTGAGACAGGAGAACTCAGAGATCTCAAGAAGGGTGGAAATTTGAAGGGAGGGCTAAAATCATTCCTCCAATATCACCACCCCAGCTGGGGCCTCCTGATAACCATGGCCTCCTGTATTTGTCTGATAACCCTTGTCCTCTCATCTACATGAATCTTTCAGTCAACCCAACACACCCAACTGGACATCTTCTGTCTTACATTATTCTGAAGATAGCCTTTTCTAGTACTTTATCATTGAACAACTTAATTTACAAAAATGAAGCTTAACTTACAGAAATGAAGGCTGGCAGAGGAGCAGGCCAAATAGTGAAGTCTTTTCAGAAGATCATAGTTTTGGGAGGTGGAAGATGATATACATGTTTTGTGCTTATGAAATATCTATGAACATATCTGTAGATAGATAATATGGTACTCTGGTCATAGAGTCCATAGGGAGTTACTGCCTGTAGTGCAGTTTGAATTCATCAGTGGCTACATAAGAGAAAATATGCAATCTCCTCCTCTGTGAAATACAGCCTCCAAACCCAATGGAGGTTTAGCTATGATTTGCTTCTAACTCAACATCAATAAGCGAGTGACATATATAAACATAGATCAGGCCAACATTCCTCACCCCCCAATATAGTAAACTTTGTACTTTACATAAATTGATGCTTTCCTGGTTTAGGGTCTGAGCCAATTCCTAGACTACAAATTATTCTCCAATATACTTACTACTAGTTTTTAGAGTTTCTTTTTAGTGTTAGATTTGTAATCTATCTGGAATTTACCTTCATGTAGGATGTGTGGTAGGAACCAACTATATATGTGCTTTGAAAACCTTCATCATGTATAGTAGTATCCACAGGTTTGTTTCTTAACTCCCTTCTGTTTTATTGCTCATTCCTGAGTCATACCACACACTATTTTAATCTCAACTTTAGTGATATGTTTTGACTTTTGGTCTCTACTTCCTGAAACACACGCATTTCTTGGTGTTTATTTCCTAACACCTGTGGATGTTTTAAAACTTCTCTGGCTACTTCTCAGTTTCCCTGATGGCTTCTTCTCTTTCTTTGCTCATCCCTTGAGCATTTTCATCTTCAATGTAATTCTGCTCATCCTCATTCTATATTCATTCCCTCTGTGATTTTTTTTCTGTGCTGATAAGATCTCAAATGCGTATTTCTATTTTAAATGAGTTTTTAACATTCCTTTTTATAGTCATGAGGAGATTTGAAACTCAACCATCATTATCAAAACATGAGCTCATCTTTTCACCTTACCCATTCTCCAAAAGACCTGGTCTCTCTATAGCATTTCCTCCTTTATCCACTGGCACAGTTATTGAAGTTGAAACTTAATTGTCTTCTTGGTAGTTTCCATCAGTCTCTCCTTCTCAGATCAACTACTAAGTTATATTCACTGAATTTACTAAATACCACTACATTTTACCCAATTCTTTCCACCCCACTGTGGCTTCCCTAGTTCAGACCTCTCACTAGACACTTGAATAATTGCAGTCACCTGTAACACACGCGTCTAAACAACATGCCTCTGGAGAAACTATGAACTTTGATAAATGACAATAGTTATAGACAGGCTTCAGGCCTTTTGTTCATAGGGTTGCTATGAGTCATACTTGACTCGACGGCAATCAACAACAACAATCTATAACTAGGGAGCGCTGATACCCTAGAGGTAAGAACCTGCGCTGCAATCTTGAATGCTCATTGTTCAAATCCACCAGCTGCTTCGTGGTAGTCTAGTAGTAAGAGGCTGTGCTGCAATCTCAAAGGCACGTAGTTCAAATCCACCAGCTGCTCCACAGAGAAAGGATGGGCAGTCTCCTCTCATGGGATTAACTGCTTCTGAAAACCCACTGGAGGGTCAGCTATGGGTCAGTTTTGACTTGATGTAACAAAACAACAAATAACCTCCTCACCTATCCTTTCTGTAATCTAGTATAATGTAGCCAGTGTCAAGATTAAATTTGTAAAATGTATTCACCTTATTCGCTACCTAAAGCTTTCTTCAAACTTCTCTCCCCAGCAGGATCAAGTTCAAATCTATGACGTTGTTTTTTAGGCTGGCTCCTATTTGTCCACTGCACCTTCATGCTCTATAATCTGTGTTCTTTTTATTTTCTTGAAGAGATGATGCTCTTGTGGCGCTCTAGGTCCTTTTCTTTACCTAGCTAACTTACCTTTTTTATAGATCACAGTTTCTTACAGATCACCATTTCCTCCAGGACCACTCTATCTGTATTACTCTATCTGTATTAGGTGTCCCTGTCTTGGCTTCTTCTTTTTTTTTTTTCTTTCCTGTCTTGGCTTCTATAGCCCGTATACCTTCTACAGTATAAATTCATCACATGGTCTTGGAAAAGGCACAGCCAGAATGCTCCTTGGAGGCAAGGATAGTGAAACTTCGTCTCACATACTTTGGAAATGTTGTTAGGTGGGAGCAATTCTTGGAAAATAACATTATACTTGGAAAGGTGGAGGTCAGCAAAGGAAAGGAAGACCCTCAACAAGATGGACAGTGTGACTATAACGGGATGATGAGAATGGCGCAGGATAGAGCAGGGTTCAGGTCCCTTGTTCATAGGGTCGCTATCAGTCATAGTCAACTCAATGGCAATTTAAAACATTGTAACAAGAATAAAGGCATATAAACTCTTTTTTTTGTTTGTTTTTTGTTTTTGTAATGATATGTAATTTAATGTGTATAACTGTTTTTTTCTATAATTATATTTTATTAATTTTCATAAACATTTACAGAGATTTTGGGTTTCCATTCATTCATTGTTGCACGGCATATAAACTCTTGAGAACAGAGCTTAGTCTCCAGCACCTAGGACAGGGCCTGAGTAGAGAAGGAGGACAAACAAATAGATGCCTGGAAGGTAAGGGTCATTTGGAAGGAAGAGACCTAAGACTTCCCGAGGGAGAGGAGGTTTGACGCACAGTCCCCTCCGGGTCGGCCACGCCCACTGCCCTCTTCCGCCCTAGCCTATCCGGAAGTGGAGGCGTGGGCTTCCCAAGATGCTCCGCGGGAGACCCATTTAAGCCACTTGGCGGAGAGAAAGGGTAGAATGATGGCAGCGCCGGAGCCGGAAGTGATATCCTCTGCCGCAGTACCCGGTAAGGCTCAATGTGCGGAGCTCAAAAGAGCTTTGGGGAGCTATTTTTTCCTAACTGCCGTTCCCTCCAGGCACTTCGCCCTTGGCCCTCTCTGCACCCCGGCACCCACTCCTGGCGTAACTCCGCGCCCTAGTTCCACCCGAGCGAACTGCCTCGCCCCCACCGCCCTGCTCCCTGTCATTTCGCACTCTGCCCTCCCTCTATTTCTTCTCGGCGTTCTCAGTCCCACTCGACTGCTCTTTGTCTCGAACCACTTCCCCAGATGTCTAGGGCACACCGCTTTCTGGGCGGCGCTTCACTCGCTGCCTGGGAACAGCGCCTCCCCACCCTCGCCCGCTGGCGGCCCACCTGGGGGCTCCCCACCTGGGGTGCGGCCGGGGGGAGAGAGCTCGGAGCTCCCACGGGCTCCCTACGCGGCAGGGGCTGGTTTGGTGGCCATAAGGGAATAAAATACACTGGCTGTGATGTTATTTTTAAATTTTATGCTAGTTTGCATACAAGACTGTGCATCTGAAGCGTTCCCTCGTTCTTTGCACCTCTTTTCATACAGCCGATTTGGAGTGGTTTGACAAGGCCAAGCAGACGCAAGTTTCCGAGCTAGAACTCGTTGATCCTACCATGGCCCAAGGACCTCCCAACCCATCGGAAAGCTTTTGCCCCCGAGACTGCATTGTGCCCGTCGTGTTTTCCGGGCCTGTGAGCCAGGAAGGCTGCTGCCGGTTTACTTGTGAACTTCTAAAGCATATCATGTACCAACGCCAGCAACTCCCTCTGCCCTATGAGCAACTTAAACACTTCTACCCAGAATCTCCTCAGGTAGGCGCATGCGTCGAGGGGAGAGTTCACGGGCAAACGCCGTGCCTCTTCAAGTTAGCAGGTTTTAACTTGTAAGCCTGAGCAGCTGTAAAAAGTGAGTTTAAAGCTCAGGGCTTCTATGCTCCCTATTTATAGTCTTGTTGGTCTCATCTTCCCACTTCTCTGCGTTCTCTTTCTGAAACACTATTATGTGTTAAATTGTAACTTCTTGAACGGACACTTCAATATTTAGTATCTTTTTCTCTACTAGTTCCCCCCTCTTTTTTTTTTTTTGTTGTTGTTTTATTCAGCTTCCTTGAAGACTTGACTTTCTATTCTAACGCTTTTAATTTTTTATACTTTGGCCATCATATACCCAACAGCCCGTTCTTTGTTTTTCTTTTTCATAGCATCTCATTCTTGTCTCATTGCTACGTTAACTTCTCTTACACAAGAATATTCCTTGTGGTACCTTTGAAGTTTCCCCCGGTACCTTGATTTATCTCTCTACCATATTTATGTTCCCATTTGTTTTGGCCTCTGGCTTTCATATTGGGAGTCTTTCTAATGTGCCCGGTCAGAATTTAGGAATGTCATTGAAAGCTCAGTGTGCAGTGGGACCTTGTGAGCTGATGAACATCGCGCTAAGAAGATTGTGTGGGAACTGTGTGGCATCTTTGAGGGGACTCCCCCAGACCCCAGTACTGAAAAATTTCTCTAGGTGGGGAGGGAAACTGGAATGGCAATGTAAGTGGCGTCTTTGCCAGACGTTCACCCAGTTCCCTGTATTCCCCATGCCCTCTGCAGTGCTTAGTAAGGCCAATTCCTGAGTCTTATGGGATTCTTCAGAGTACACTGGCTTGCTTCTCATGGATCTTTTCTTTCCTGCAGTGGGGATTCTTTTTCTTTCTTTTCTGGCAATGCTTCGGGGTGTGCCCTGGCCAATGCAGCCTGAAGTTACTTGCGTTAGAATCTGGAGATCAGCACAGATCCTCCTCTCTCCTCCCCAACTCCCAGAAATCTTTTTTGGCAATGCTTCGCAAAGAAAGGTGACCCAACAGAGTGGAAATTATCGAACAATATCATTGATATCACATACAAGCAAGATTCTGCTGAAAATTATCCAAAAACGTTTGGAACAATATGTCAGCAGAGAACTGCCAGGTGTGCAGGCTGGATTTAGAAGAGGTCGTGGTACTAGGGATATTATAGCTAATGTTAGATGGATCTTAGCAGAAAGCAAAGAATACTAGAAGAATGTCTATCTGTGCTTCATGACTATGCAATGGCTTTTGACTGTGTGGATCACAACAAGCTGTGGCTGACTCTGAGAAGGATGGGAATCCCAGAACATTTGATTGTGCTAATGCGAAACTTATACTTGGACCAAGAGGCAGTCGTCAGAACAGAGCAAGGAGACACTACATGGTTCAAAATCAAGAATGAGGTTCATCAGGGATGTATTCTGTCTCCATACCTTTTCAATCTGTATGCAGAACAGATCATCCGAGACGCTGGGCTATACAAAGAGGAATGTGGCATCAGGATTGGTGGAAGAATCATCAACAACCTGTGTTATGCAGATGACACAACCCTGCTTGCTGAAACTGAGGAGGACCTGAAGCGCTTGCTGCAGAAGATCAAGGACTACAGCCTCCTATATGGACTGAAGCTCAACATCAAGAAAACAAAGATTCTAACCACTGGGCCAATTGGCAGCATCAGTATGGATGGTGAAGAGATTGAGATAGTTAACAGTTTTAGTTTACTTGTCTCCACAGTCAACACTCTTGGTAACAGCAGCCAGGAAATCAAGAGATAAATTGCATTGGGAAAGTCGGCTGTGAGGGACCTCTCAGAGTACTGAAGAGCAACGATGTCAGACTGGAGACTAAGGTGCGCCTGATCCAGACTATAGTCTTTGCAGTTATGTGCTATGCATCAGAGAGTTGGACAGTGACTAGGGTTGATAGAGAATTGATGCGTTTGAGTTGTGGTGCTGGAGAAGAGTGTTGAATATACCATGGAGTGCTAGGATAACAAACAGGTTTGTCCTGGAGAGGGTGAAGCCAGAATGTTCCCTGGAGTCAAGGATTCTGAAACCTCGTCTGACATATTTTGGGCATGTTGCAAGGAGGGACATCATGTTTGGCAGAGTGAAGGGGCGGCGAAGGAGAGGAAGACCTTTGAGATGGATCGATTCTGTGACTAGAGAGGTGGGAATAAGTGCATTTGAGATGGCTAGGTTGGCACAGGATAGAAGAGCATATGGAGCTCTTGTACATATAGGGTCGCTATGAGTCGCAAGCGACTCAGTGGCCCATAACAACAACAAGTGGGGATTCAGTTCTCTTGCTATGGCTCTTGCTTCTGCTTTCTACCTTCAAAAACCTTGTTGTTGCTTCTTGACCATTGTTGACTATTCTCCAGGTCTCATTGCCTTCAGCAGTTTAACCTTCACTTTCTTTATCTTCCCTGATTTCTTTTTTCACACTTGGTTGTTGCAGACCGAGGGTCCCAAAGAATGAAATAATTTTATAATTATTAATAATGAGACAGACTACCAGGAATGATATAGAACAGAGAGTGTGAAAAACAGGGGGCCAACAGTTCCCATGACTGAAGGCCCCAAGCCATGCTTCTCTGAGTATTTATTTAGAATCATAAGGAAGGTAAACAAAGTAAAATCATAAGGACGTACAAAACAAAAACAAAGGGTAATGGTAAAGTCTTTTACAGATAAGGCCAAGTTCTTCTTTATGCTAATCCCAAGAGGGAGGGATTCAGTTGATACAAACTAAGAAAACTGTTGACTCTTAGGGAACACCTTAGTGCCACAAGGTGACCTTCAGCTTGTATTAGACCTCCCTCATTTCCTGATATAGCATTTGGTCTACTATTAGTAAATTTGATATTCCGCTTCCCTCACTTGGTAGTATTTCAGGTGACAGCAGGTTATTTTCTGTTTGCCATGTTTGGCCAGGAAGCCTACTCCAGGGTCACTGTTTTTAGACCAAGTAATCCTTGTTACCACTCTCTGTACAGCAAGGATTTATTCAAACTTCTGCGTCTCTTTCTAGGTGCCCTACAGTTTCAGAACACTGCCTTGGCTGTTCTTAGGGTGGAAAATTGGGATTTTGTTAATTTAATATGTCCCCCTTTTGATATATTGCCCTCTGATAAAACCTAGTGTTTTCGTTATGACAGTTCACTGAGCTGAAAATCCAGTCCCATACAGTTCTTTATTTTTAGTTTTTTTCATAAGAGTACTTTAAAGGGCATTAAATACCCTTATCTTGTCCTTCTCATTCTTTTTCCTCAGGCAGAGGATGCGGTGAGGATGAAACCTTGGTCTGCCGCTGAGGCAAACAACAAGAAATCTCAGCAGACCCTGGCAGAACTGGAGAGCGTCTTCAGCCACCTGGAGAGCCTCTTTGCCCGGACCCTGGTACCACGAGTGCTGATCCTCCTTGGGGGCAGCACTCTGAACCCCAAGGAGTTCTATGAGCTCGACTTGTCCCAACTGGTCTCAGACAGCGAGGAACAGAGCCTGAGCACAGCAGCTTGTTTGCGCTATCTCTTCCGAGCCATTTTCATAGCTGATGTCTTCAGTGAACTTCAGACTCCTCCACTTATGGGTACCACCATTATGGCACAGGGGCATCGCGACTGTGGAGAAGATTGGTTTCGACCTAAGCTCAACTACCGAGTGCCCAGCCGGGGCAACAAACTAACTGTTACCCTGTCCTGCGGCAGGCCACTCATCTCAGCCACAGCCTGGGAGGATTACGTCTGGTACCAGGCACCAGTGACGCTTAAAGGCTTCTACTAATGAATGAAGATGCTTCTTTTTTATTTATTTATTTATTTATTTATTTATTTATTTATTTATTTATTTATTTATTTATTTATTCTAAGAATCAGCTTCCAGGATCTCAGGGCTGTTGGCTTCAGGACTCAGTTTCTCAAAGGCTGTTGGCTGAGAAACCTCATTCTTTGCTGGCTAGAGGCCATTCTCAATGCCTGGGCATGTGGACATTTCCAGCAAGGTTGCTTGTTGTGTCCAGGTGAGAGAGGTGAGACGACTAGAGAGAGCTTGAAGATGCTTCTTAATGGTGGAAACACAGTAGTGGCTGCATTACCTTTCCTCTTGTGGCACCCAGTCATCCAGTTCTGCTTGGAGCTCAGGCTGCTTCTTGGTGAAGGAAGATTGGATTCTTCTAGCTGCCTGCCTCCCCTCCTCAGACTTCTTGGTGGGCTGTAATAATCATCCACAAGCATTATCATTTCTATGAATCATAGAGTTGTTTTACCCAAAGGTGCTGGGTCAGGTGTTTCTATATGGGGCTAGAAAGTAACTATGAGCCCATGGACACTCTTAGGAAGGAGACTTTTTGTGGGACCTTACAGAATTTTCACTAGGGACATGAAATGAATGTGATGAATGGATTTAAGTATAAAATGAATGAATTTAAATTTTCCTGAAAATCTTTTGGCTCAAGGAGATTTTGTTACTTAACAGCTAGGTGGTTTGACTTTTTGTACTTTGGGACTTCCAGGATCTTATTAATGGTTCTTGGTCTTCATCAGTCACAGACCAATTTGGAAAGCTAAATGACATGACTGAAACTCTAAATGGCAATAGAACTGGGACAAGAGTTTTCATTAGTTGAATCCTAACCCGTCCTTCTTTCCTGTCCTTACACTAGTCCTTATACTAGTTTTTGAGACCTTTAGATTCCAGCTGCCCAAAGCAGAGGTCACCTTTGATGTGAGCACAACTGTGGTAAGGACCTTCACTTACCTCACCACTCAGGGGGCCACAGTGACTCAGAAGAGCGGAGCCCTGTACCTGTGTGTAGTAAACCCTGAGGAGTGTGCTGAAAGAGTGGGTGAAGGGGGCAAGGCCCCCTGGAACAGGTACCTCTGCTGCCGCTGGCCATTCAGCATGGGTGAAGCTGTAACCCACCCACAACTTCTGAGTGAGCCCATGCTGCACAATAAGTTGAACCTGAGGCCTGAGAGTGAGGGCCTGACACCCCTCCAACTCTTGGGGTATAAATGGTCCTTGTATACCAGGCCCATTCTGCCCTTCAGAGCTGAGAAGCCAACGCTGAGGAATGGGAACACTGAAAGACTGGAGTGAAAGAGAGCTGATAAATCTCAAACCAGAGGGCCTGTGCAGGACTTGATTGAGCTGAGGCCCCCCTGTTGTTAGGTACCATCAAGTTGACAACAACTCATAGCAATCCTGTGACCTGTGGACCTGAACCCTGGCCTATCCTGTGCCATCCTCGTCGTCACTGATATGCCCGAGCCCGTTGTTGCAGTCACTCTGTCAGTCCTTCTTACTGAGAATCTTCCTCTCTGCTTATGCTCCACCTTTCCACCTTTTGAGGATGGGTCCCTCCTAAAAAATTGCCCAAAATAGGTGAAATAAAGCTTCAGCATCCTTGCCTCCAAGTAGTAACCTGGTTGTGCTTTCTGCAAGAAATTTTTGTTCCCTTGGATTAGAATATTCTAATCCAACCATAACTAAAGGCATGAAGGCCCCTTTAGGACTGACCTGCCTTATTAGATCGGTTCCCTGAGCCTAACTGTCCCATCTGGAGTTATGCCCAACCTGCCTCCACTACAGTTGTCCGGTGGCTGTTGGCAGTTACTGCTGGCAGTATTATCCTTAAGCAAACCTGTCCTCCTGCTGATCCTGTTTTTCATCCTCTCTGGCTTGATGTTACCCTCATTACTAAACATAGATATTCTTTGTGTTTAGAGAAAGAGACCACATGCACAGTTCCTGGATGCGAACTCTGTAAATAGGGACTGTATTAGATCTATTGGAAGGTAGTGGTGGTTGCCTTCGGGTGGTTCTGACTCATAGCAACCCCCTGGTAACTTAAGGAGACACTACCTGGTCCTCAAATTTACTGACATTTACTGTGTCTGAGCCCATTGTGGAAGCCTCTGTATCAGCCCATCTCCTTGAGAGTCTTTACTTGGTTGACCTTCTGCCAAATAAGATATTCTTCTCCAGCCTAATAACATGTCCAAAGAACATAAGACTAAGTCTCAGCATCCTCATTTCTAACGAACATATTCTCTCTGCACTCCTTCCAAGACAGATTAATTCATCCTGGCAGTCCATGGTGGGCACAGTCAATATTTTTTGGCAACACCATAAATCAAAGGCATCAATTCTTTGATCCTCCTCATTTTCTGTCCCATTTTTGCATGCATATGAGACTACTGGAAATATGGACTGTCTCAGGCACACCTTAAGCCTCAAAGTGATCTCTCTACTTTTAAAGAACATATCAAAGATGACTCAGTGACCCTACGAACAACAAATCTGTGCCAGATCAGTCCTGTCCTGTGTCGTCATCATTTCTGGCATCCTTGAGTCCATCACAGCAGAACTGTGCCATTCCCTCTCATTGAAAGCCTTCCTTTCTTTCATTAACCCTCTTTCCCAGCAAGATGTCCCTCCCCAAGGAATAGCCTCTCCTAGCAACATGCCCAAAATGAGACAAAGCTTTGCCTACAAGGATCACTCTGGCTTTACTTTCTCCAAGATTTATCTGTTTGTTCTTTGGCAGTCCTAGGATAGTCAGTACTCTTCTCCAGCACCACAGCTCAAAGGCATCAAGTCATCTATCATCCTTATTCATTATTTAGCTCTCAAATACGTACACAATGGAAAGACCACGGCCTGAATCAGATGTACTTTAGGCCTTAAACTGCCATCATTATTCCTCAATAATTTGGAGAGATTCCTGGCAGCAGACTTTCCCAGTGCAGTACATATCCTGATTTCCTGACCAAAAGTATTTATTGTGGATCCAAGTAAGATGAAATACAGTGATAATTTCATCTTTTCCCCCATCTGTCATAGTAATATTGCCTGTTGGTTCCAGTAGTGAGAATTTTTGTTTTCTGGATTTTGAGATGGAATCCATTGTGAAGGCTGTAGTCTTTGATCTTCTATAGCAAGCGCTTCAGATCCTCTTCACTTGCAACAAGCAAGATTGTGTCATTTGCATAACGCAGGTTATTGATTTTCCCTCTGATCCTGATAACATGTTCTTAATAGAGTCCAGCTTCTTGGAGGATTTGTTCAGTATACAGATTGAGTAGGTATGGAGAGAGGATACAACCCTGACACACATTCTTCTTAATTTTTAAACCATGTAGTGTTCCCTTGCTGTGTTCACACAATAGCCTCCTAGCCTAGGTACAGGTTTTGCGTGAACACAAGTACTCTGGGATTCCCATTCTTCTCAATGTTAGCCATAAATTGTTATGATCCACATTATTAAAGAGTCTGGCAGCATACTTGCCTTATGTAATTTGTTATTTGATTTCTTGATTGCCACTTCAGTGGGCATTTATTGTAGATCCAAGTTAAAATGAAATCCTTGCCTATCAGTCTTTTCCTTTCCATGATGATGCTGACAGGTCCAGTTGTGGGATTTTTGTTGGTAAGATTTGATAGTCTGTTAGTTTGATAGTGCTTAATGTTAAGGTAGAGGGTCAGTGAAAAGAGAGAGCCTCTCAATAAGATGGATTGACATTGTCACTGTAAAAATGGCCTCAAGGAGCAACAGTTGTGAGGATGATGTGGCCCGGGCTGTGTTTAATTCCATTAAACATTACGATGATTTGAAAATGACTCAACAATGCTTAAAGTCTTTAATGTATACAAAGTGCTCAGCATAGAGTTTATATTTTGTGCCTTAGTTACTGTAAGCACTTTGAATGTGTTCTCAGCGCATGGATTATCCTCATTTCATAAATGAGGCTTGGGGACATTGAGTAGCTTCCCTGAGTCATGAAACTTGGGTTCAGAATCAGTCCACCTGGCTTCACAGGCCGAGCGCTTTATGCTGTACTGCACTTCCTGTGTGATTTTTTACTCAAATCATTTAACCCTGTCTGCTCTGCCACCCACGGTAGCACTGGGAAATGGCAAGGCTCCTGCATCTCAGCTTCTAATTCTGGTTCCTAACATAGAATTTGCCACTGTTGGGTGCTGAGTAAGTATTTAATGATGAAAACAAAAAGCTTGGGCTCCTTGCTGTGTCATGACCACTGGACAGCATTTCCACTGGCTTCCTGTTCCCCATGTCTTCATAGAAGAGGAACAAGACCATATCTCTTGCTCAGAAGAAAGACCAAGCAGTTGCCTGAAGGGTGTGGGGAAGTGTTGAAACCAAGGGGTTATAAATTTGTTTTGAAAGAAGATATATTAAACCATGTCAGCTCCCTCAAGTGCTAATTTTAAAGGCCTTCATAAATAATGGTTAGTCAAAACAAAGTAGTTATCTGGGTAATTTAGACATTTCTCCATTAGCTTGGCACTAGGGCCCAGGTCATTCTGATTTCATGAGTCCTCTCCAGAGGATTCCAGAAAAGAAAAAAGATCATGAATAATGTTGGTAATAAATCCCCTCTCCCTCCCTGACGGTAAGTTGACCCAGGAACCTGCTGGTTTACACATGACTGGAGGCTCCTGAGGTGGATGATGAAGGGGAGGGACCTCGGCTGCACTGGGCCTTTCCTGTTAGTACTGTCCTGCCTAAAGTTTGTGGGCTAAGGAGGTATGTAGGTGGCATTTGATGGGAAGATTCATAATGTCACTCTTACCCTCTCCACATCCTTATCCCAAAGCGTGGCCCTATATTTTGCTTCCCTTGGAGCACATAGTGGAGTCAAACCTACTGCCTTTCGGTTGACAGTGGAACTCCTTACCACTAAACCACCAGATCTCCCTTGAAGAGGCATCTAGTGAAGACTAAAGGGAGCGTGATGGATAGGCCCCAGTCCCTGGAATTTCAATTTTGACGTTAAGAAGTAACAACGACTGGAGTGAAATAGTACAGCTAGTATCGGAGTTGGGAATCCGGTTCGGAATTCTTTTCTTCTGCACTTGGGGAAGGACAAAGTATACATGCACTTGGTTACTTTGGGATCTCTAACGCCACAAAGTAACTTAGCTCTAGTAGGAGAAACCACACCCTCGCTGAGCCTATTCCCACATCAGGAAAGCCCAGGGCACTAGCAGGGTTAGTGTACCACCGCGCGGGCTTTAGTGAGGGCCGCGCGGGAGAGGGCGTTCCCACAGGGTAGGTCACGTGGGGGGTCCCGGAGGGGCGGGGCTCTGGGTCTCCATGGAGACGGCTTCCCATAGCAACCGGGCGAGCGTTGAGCGGCGTCTCCGGCCTGATGGACGCCGATAGCCTTTTGCTGTCGCTGGAACTAGCGTCCGGCAGCGGGCAGGGCCTCAGCCCGGACCGTCGGGCCTCCCTGCTCACTTCCCTGCACCTGGTTAAGCGTGACTACCGCTATGATCGGGTCCTCTTCTGGGGCCGCATCCTCGGCGTGGTTGCTGATTACTACATCGCGCAGGGTCTGAGTGAGGACCAGCTGGCCCCGCGCAAGAGCCTCTACAGGTGGAGGCAACACTGGGGCTGAGCGAGCATCCAGAAGGGGCGCGAAGATAGTGCAGAGCAGGAAGTGGGTGGGAACGAAGGGCATGGAATAGGGAAACGCCTGAGGGCAGGGCCTGGAGAGGAAAACCCCAAACCAGAGGGACAACGCCCTCTGCCCATCCCCTGCTTGGAGCAGCTGGTGGAGTTAAACCGCTGACCTATCAGCAGCACAAGTACCGCACGATGAGTAGAGAGCTCGATGAGTACTGCAGAGAATAGAGCGAAAGGCTCTGAGGCGACGAGGATAACTGGGTTTTGAGAGGGCAGGTTCTTATCTAGGAGAAGCTTCGGATGGCAGGCGGCGCGAGGTGAAGGTCTTTGGAGACGGGGAACCTGGAGCAGAAGCCAGGAACTGGGTGTCAGACCTGGAATTCCGGGGAAGACTGGAAATGGATCCAGAAACATCTTAGATGGAGGTGTTGGTTCTACAGGCAGGAGGCGCTCTGGGGAACAGAGCTCTAATGCAAGATGGTGAGGGCGGAGGGTGAGGACTGGGGACCATTCTGTGGACGCTCCAACTCAGGACCATCTAATCTTTCTGACTGCCCTCAGAGATGTCCGTTCAGGAGGTAGGAGTTGGCAACTGCTTTTATCTACGTATGTGTCCAACCAACAGTGATTGGATGCTTCCTGTGCTAGACTTGAGTCTACAAAGGTGGCTGGACTCCTTGTCCCCTAATTGCGTACATCCTGGGGGAGGAGAGTGGAGAGGCGTAGCCCAGCAATTACATCTCCGTGTGTGTGGAAATTAGAACAGAGCTGTAAACAAAGGACCAGAGGGAGGCAATGTCCTAGAAAGCAACTAATTAAGATTACTGAAGGAAGAACTTGCTTTGCAGTTTGTAAGAACAAGGAGTTCTTCAGCATGGTGTGGGGAAGGAGTACTGGATAGAGGAAGCCGATCACAGACATCTGCTGAATGGGTGTTTGGGAGGACAGCAGGTAGAGAACATAGCAGTGGAACGCACTTGGTGTTAAAGGAGGCTGGATGGAGAGGGCGAGGGTTTGAGCTTTGTCTCACAGGCTGTTGAGGATCTTAAGGGGTTTTAAAAAAGAATGGCCTGCTCAGCCCTGAGTGGGCAGGGTGAGCATTTAGCAGCTTGCTGCTGTGTCTAGTTGAGAAGGTTGGGCTAACTGGGGGAATGAAGGGGTAAGTGTGGGCTGAAGGATGTAGGTGGTAGAATTGGTAGGACTTAGTGTGTGTGTGTGTGTGTGTGTGTGTGTAGCGGATGAGGTCTTTTTCAAAGTCAAGGTCAAGGTGAGTTCTGGCACCACTCATTGGAGTAGAATCCAAGGAACTTTCTAGGAAAGATATCGTTTGAAGTTAAGTACTTTAAGAGAATGAGGTGGGGGCAGGGGTTAAGAAGACACATTTTTTTTAAAAAAAATATAGATTTCAGGAGAAACTTGGGCTGAAAATAGATGGGGGCTTATTTACTTTTATTCTACATTTATTTACCAGACCCCTATAATGTGCTAAGCATTGACCTAGACACCAGGAGTTCAATGATAAAACAAAAATATTTGTCTTCATGAAGTGTAGGTGTTAAGAATCAGTGATGTCAGTTCAAAGACTAAGGTGCTTCTGACTCAAGACATGGTCTTTTAAATTACTTATTATACTTCTGAAAGTTGTACAATGACCAAAGATGACAGAAGAATAATCAATATTTTTGAGCAGTAGTGTTGCAGAAGAGTATCAGATAGCCCACGGACTTCCAAGAGAATGAATAAGTATGTCTTAGAAAACATGCAGCCAGGGTTCTCCTTGGAGGCAAAGACGGTGAGTCTTTCTCCCACCTGTTCTGGGCATGTTGTTAGAAGGACATGTGTGGAAAGGTGGAGGCTCAGCAAAAGAGTAGAAGACCGTCAACGCGGCTGACACAGTGACTGTCACAATGGGCTCAAGCATCTTAGAGACGAGGAGGATGCAGGAGAAGGCCAGGCTCTGATCATGGGGTTGCTATGAGTTGTAGCTGACCTGACAACACCTAAAGACAGCAACAACAGTTGTTTGTGTGTCTGAAGGTGAGAAATAGTAAAATGTATATGTTTAACACATGTTTTAATTACCTGGTACTGCTACCACCTGAAAGCAGGAGCGGCATCCACTTCCGAAATGGCTTGCCTCCGGAAACTCTATGTATGAACAGTGCTTAGGCCGTTCATTCATAGGGTCGCTATGAGTCGTTTATGACTCGACGACATCAAACAACAACAACAACTGCTACCACAGTAGCATAAGTGAGTAGCTTTAAAGAACAGAGGTGTTTATTTCCTCACAGTTCTGAAGGTTGTTGTTGTTGTTAGATGCTGTTGAGTCAACTGTGACTCACAGTGACCCTGTGGACACAGATCTGGGCCTTGCCCAGTTCTGTTCCCTCTTTCTCTCTGGCCATTTTTGAATCCTTGTAGATGTATGCTCAGAGGGCAGCTGTATGTGTGTGTCCCTCCTGAATGGATAGATTTAGGACTCCTCTTGCTCAGGTATGACCTCATTAACATAGCAAAACAAATTCCTACTTCCAAAGGGTCATATTTGCAGGTACAAGAGTTAAGGATTTAGCAGCAGTTCTTTTTGGTGGAATACAACTCAATCCATAACACATGCTGACAGTGTTAAGTGCTATGGGGGGGATACCACAGAAAAGGGGGCACAGATATGCAGCAGAAGACTATTTTGAAAAGAATGCAATGGACTCTCTGATAAGGTGACATTTGAGAAGAGACCTGTAGGGACTGACAGAGTGAAGTATGTGTCAGATGCAAAGGCCCTGAGGCAGGCATGTTCTTAGTAATTTTGTGGAACCTTACTTGTTAGTGTGGTGGTGGGAGGACAGAGAGCATTATGGATATGAACTCAGAGAGGGAATTATTAGGGAGACAATAATGCAAGGCCTGGTGAGACTTGCCTCAACAGGAAGCCACATGGAAGGTTCTCAGCAGAGGAGTGCCATGATCTGACTTGGATTTAACAAGATCCGTCTGGTTGTTGGGAAAGACTAGATGGAAGGGAGAGGAGGTGTGGAAACCTGCTACTTAAGAGGCTACGTTCGATATCCAGGCAAGGACAGATGATGGCTTGAGGCAGGTTGGAAGCGATGGAGGTGGTGAGAGGTGGCTGGACACTAACGGGGCAATCCCACAACAGCCAAAAGAACAGACTTAGAGAACATGGAGAAGGTGCAGCCAGAGTGCTACTTGGAGGGAAGGGTGATGAAGCATTATCTCACATACTTTGGTTCTGATGCCAGGAGAGGTTGTTCTTGGAGAAGGACATCGTGCTTGGAAATGTGGAGAGGAGGTGGAAAAAAGGAAGACCCTCAGGCAGGTGGGTTGACACGATGGCTCTGGCAATGCGCTTAAATGTGTCAGAGATGGCGAGGGTGGTGCAGATCAGGACAGAGTTCAGATCCGTTGTTCATAAGATTGCTATGTGCTTGACCCAACAGCATCTAACAACAACATCAACCAGAAGGCAGTAGCTGAGGCCTAGGGAGTCAGGTGCGCGAGTCCGCAGAGAGGAGAAACACTTGTGAGACTAGAACTTTGGAAGGACTTAAGGCATGGAAAGTTGGAGAAGGGAGTTGTCAGAAGAAAGTAATGGGGAGGTATCGGAGGCAGGCTGACCTGCTTTTAAACAGCATCTTGGCGTGGTAGGACTCAACAGGTAACGGGCTGAAGAGTGGATGTGAGGGGAGAAAGGGCACTCCTTGGGCAAACCGTTGTTCTGTGATGATTATTCAGGATGGAGGGAGGAAGAAGGGATAGACTAATGTATTTTCTAGGAGGGACACAGATTTAGTGGTTGCTGCTGGGCCACTAACTTAGAGGTGTGGGCTCAACTCCACCAGCGGCTCTTGAAGACTTTTATGTTGGGAAGGAGCCAGAGAGTGCGCTGAGCAGGAGGCTGAGCAGAGACCAGGCCGGGGTATGCGGGGCTGCTGAGGAGTGGGAGGCCCACCCTGTCTGTCCTGGCAGGGAATGAGAATGAAGGCCTTCCCCCCCGCCCCCCCGCAGGGCTGCAGTGGGGGTGCTGGAGCTCTCCAGGCAGGGGGATCCTTGAGTGCCTCGCCTTCCCTGAGAAAAGGCTGGGGGACCGGAGGAAGGTAGCACTTTGGGTTCAGTAGGTAGGCAGCACGAGTGTAGGGTCTACTCCAAAGCACCACCCTCCACCCCGAGTATATTGAGTTCAGCTTCCACAAAGTTCTCCAGAATTTCAGAACCCAGATATCTAGTTAGATGCTCTTACATTGGGGCACACCATAAGCCTTTAGGGTTTCTGAGGGTCTCAACACAGGATTAGGACAAAGGTATGGATGCTGACTCTTGGGCCTAAGTCCCCCAGGAGAAGGGGAGAAGGTGAACGCTGGGTGGGAGAGAGGTGCATTCCAGGGGTGAGCTGGGTGTCGTTGGCAGCCTGAACTGCATGGAGTGGAGCCTCCTGCCCCCCGCCACGGAGGAGATGCTGCAGCAGACATCTGTGGTGAGCGGCCGCTTCCTTGGGGACCCCTCGTATGAGTATGAGCACACGGAGATGCAGAAGGTCAACGACGGTGACAAGGTCTTTGAAGAGGAAGTGGTGGTGAGTGAAGAGCCCGCACGGAGGGGCCTCAGTGAAGACAGCCTGCCCCGGTATGAATGAATAGAAATCCCAAGAGTGAAAGTGGGAACAACTACTGTCATGACTGCCTCCCCCCGCCCCCCAAGCAGGGTTGGCGCTGGGCACCTGGGCACCAGGCTCTCGGGCCTGTGCCATCTCTAATGTGCACAGCGCCGTGAAGTCATTGCTTCCCAGATGGCAAAGAAGAGGAAACGGAAGGGCAGGGCGGTTCTTTGACTTGCCCAGGGTCACGCAGCTACAGGCAGGTCTCGGAGATACTGTGGTTCCAGACAACCGCGATAACGTCACTGTTACAGTAACGTGAGTCACTGAATGTTTTGGGGTCCCAGTGCATGTAAATGGTATGTTCAACACAGTACTGTGGTCAGTCAAGGAGCCCTGGTGGTACAGTGGGTCACAGGTGGGGCTGTTAACCAAAAGGTTGTGCGGTCATTTGAATCCACTAGCCACTTCAGGAAGGTGTGCAGTTCGAATCCACCAGCTGCTCCCAGGGCAGGCTGAGCAGTCTCCTCCTGTGTAAGCTTCTGAAAAGCCGCTGGAGAGTCAGCTAGGGGTCGGTTCCGACTCGACGGCACACAACAACAACAAGCCACTTTGTTTAGTTTCTTTTTTTTAAAGTGCATAATGGCATTATGAAAAAGCATGCACCATCACAAGAATTGACAGTATGTGACTGAGACATGAAGTGAGCACGTGCTGCTGGAAAAGTGATGCCCGTAGGACCTGCCTGCTGCTGGGTTGCCACAACTTTCAATGTGTAAAAACCACAGTGTCTGCACTGCACAGTAAACCCACTGCCAGAGGGCCAGACCCGACTCCTAGCTGACCCTCCAGTGGGGTTTCAGAGGTTGCCTATTGCACAGGAGGGGACTGTCCATCTTTCTCCCGAGGATTCAAACAGCTTGCCTTTGGGGTGACAGTGCAGGTATTTACCTACGAGGCCACCAGGCCCAGAACAATAACAAGGAGACCTGGTACTGGACAAGGATGGAGAGAGGCGTTGGGTGGCCCCCGTGAAAGTCTGGTTCTGGGGTGAGAGTTGGGAGTCGGGAAAGAGAGTGGGCGTGGGCCTTGTGTCCTTACATTAAAAAAATCTTATTTGTTCATATATTCACATGGTTAAAAAGCCAAACATACAAGGAAAGGTGCAGTAGTGGTTGCCCCCTCCTGCCTGGCAAACTTCACCCCATGAACCTCAGTTTCTCTGCAATGCTGTCTGCCACTCAGTGAGGCTCTCTGTCTAGGGGACATTAATGCTGCTGTTTGTTACTCGAGAGTATGTGTCTAAGTATCACTCAGCAAATCTGATCAGGAGCATTCCCAGGCCCTGGGAGGTAAGAATGCAGAAGCTGGGGACCCTGCAGTGAGCCTCCTGGGGGTCAATGCATGTTGAAGTGTGAGGAACTAACTAGCTTCCAGAAGCATTTGAGGAAAATACAGACCTTACTGTGCATGCAAATCTTACTGTACATGTTCTCTTTTTATTTTTAGAACAATGAATGGTGACGTGTTATATGCACATTTCTGCACTTTACCCTTTTCAATTAACAAATGATAATGTGGTCAATTAACAATAACATACATTTTTAAACAATAGTGTATTAACAATTAGCAATAGTATGTTTATAATGAACAGATTTTTTGATTCTGGGGAGTGCTGGTAGTGTAGTCCACAGGGGTTGCTCAGCTGACCCAAAGGGCATGCCTCTCTAGTGGTTCAAGGTTCAAATTCACTAGCAGGTCTGCAGGAGAAAGATGGGCATTCTCTCGTGTGATTTACGGACTCAGAAACCCAAAGAAAGGTCAGTTATAAGTCTATTCTGACTCACCTTCAATGAGGTGTTTTTATTTATTAAAGATTCTAGTCTCTGCTTTAAAGAGCCTCCTCATTTTTTGTGTGTAAATGAACTGTAGTTTATTTAACCAGTGTCAACAACAACAACAATTAATAGAAATGTAAGCTGCTAAATTTTGCTCTGACAAACAGTGCCACAGCCAACGACTTTGTACACACGTCATTTCCCATGCATGTGCTCTATCTAAAAGATCTGTTCCTAGAAGTGGAATTGCTAGGTCAAAAGATCAGGAGCTCAAGGTTTGAAATGAGACAAACATGGAATTAAAAACCCAGCCTGTCTGCTTGAACCTGGGTGAACCTAGAAGGCTAATTTTGGGTCCGTGGGACCTCATCAGCAAGCCCCAGCACCTCACCCCTGACAAGCTTACCACACCCCCAACCCCAACTTCCAGAGGCTGCGCTACTTTCTGATATTTGCTCTGCAGGTTTGTATGGCTCAGGTGAGGTGACGTGTAGCCTTTGGCCTAGGCACTTCATCACTGTTACTCTCTCTTGCTCCATACACAGTTCAACTTAGTTGCTGAAGGAAGGAGGTGGGTAGCTGGGTGACTTGGTGGTGGCTTCTCGTGACACACACTCCTTTTCAAATGCTATTTTCTCCCCAAACATCTCCGCAAGTCTTTTGTTTAAAGTCCTTTGATACTAATTATAACTAAATGTCATCACCAAAAAATATTACAATATGAGAAGATGCTTGGGATATAATTGTTAAATCTGAGAGTATGATATGAAGTTACATAAACTTCATAACTTCTATAAAGTTTTAAAATCTATGAAGACACTAATTTTGCTTTATGTACATGCACAGAAGTAAACAGGCCAGTGTTGACCAGCATGCCATCTATTAGTGGTTCTTTTTTTTCCCCTCCCCCATAGTGGTTCTTTTTAGTAGATGGCCTTATGAGGGGTTTTAACGATCTTGGTTATATGATTTGCTTTGTTTTCTAAATATTCTAGAGGGAGAATGACTGCTCTTACATGAGAAACAGGCAAAATTGGCTCTATTTAATTATGATGATAATCTTTCTTTTAAGGATACATAAGAAAATTGATGGTGATTGACCTCAGGGAACTGAGAGAGAGACTGGATGTTAAGGAAGTCTTGAATGTATTTTGCATTAAAAAAATTAAAAGAAGAAATCAAACCTTTTGTTAGGAGGGAAGATGGGGCTCACTCACGGTGGTTTTCTGAGGATCTGGCATCTACACGTGGTGGGCCTAGTGCCAGGGCCACGCAGAAGGTCCTTGGACCTGGGGTAAGTGGGCTCTGTGCCCCATTAGGATGGCCACTCTCCTGTCTCCTCAGGTTCAGATCAAGGAGGAGACCCGTTTGGTGTCCATCATTGACCAGATTGACAAGGCTGTGGCTATTGTCCCCCGAGGTGCCTTCTTCAAGACCCCTTTTGGACCTACTCATGTCAACCGGACCTTTGAAGGTGAGTCCTCTGGGGCTCCTCTCAAGGGCAAGAGGGGGCCTCCTTCCAAGCTAAGGTAGACATATATATACAGGAGCCCAACAGTCACCTGCCTTCTTCCTTAGAGACTAGCTGTGAGCACATCACCAGCTGACAGTGTGCCTCCTGACCTGGAGTTGGTGACTGGTCTCTCACTTTTCCTTTCCTTAAAGGATGGGAGGGTGTGGAGCTGCTACCCCCGGTTTTGCACCAGGCTGGGCCTCCTTGCTTTACCCCAGAATCCCACTTTGGCCTTCTCTCACTGGAGGATTTGGACCAAGTTTGAGCTGAAGGAAACCCCCTCCCACTTCTCCCTTTATTTCTGTTACTGGTTAATGGAATCTGCCACGAGTCCCTCTATGTGGTCCTGAGGCAGAGAGAAAAGGCACTGTGGTTTTGGGGGCTGCTCACCCACTTCCTGCCTGTCCCTTTTTGCTAGGACTGTCCTTGTCTGAGGCCAAGAAGCTCAGTTCCTACTTCCACTTCAAGGAGGCCGTTGAACTGAAGAAGAAGACTTTACTTGAGAAGGCTGACCTGGATCCATCCCTGGATTTTATGGACTCTCTGGAGCATGACATCCCCAAAGGTAATAAGCCATTTATTTATTCAGGGACATGAAAACTGTCCCTGAGTCAGAGCAATGGGGAGTATCTCCTGCCATTCCCCTTTAAGAGCAGAACAAGAACCTGGGAGGAACTGGTGGGTCACTGTGAATGGACCCTGAAGGTGAAGCTTCCCCGGAGTCTGTTATAGCTCAGGCCCAGCCCATCGCAGGCACTGAGGAAATGCTGAATAACAAAACACTAAGCATAGCTTCCATGGACAGGAAGCATCTCTGAATCTCGCAGCAGTCTTGAATGGAAGTGAGTTGGGAGTCTTTCTCTAAACATTCCTGAATATGTCCTTGAAAATATGGAGCATACCTAGAATTCAAGGGTTAGATTTTGGGGGGATGATTGACACATAGTTGATTCTCAAATACTGCTGTGTTGATGGAACAAAAACCACCTGCTAAGAAAGTGAGTTCTGTTAGCTTCCTGTTATGTGCAGGAAACCTTTTAATCTTACAACACACAGCTTCAAAGACTGTCTCCTGTGCTATCTGGCGCGCCTGGCCCAGGTCAAGGCCAGTGCTTATCAGCAGGCCACAGGGATGCCAGTTTCTTCTTCTGGAAGATGCTCTTAGAGACTGTACTCCAAAATAGCCACTGGGTTTTAGGTACTCAGGCCTCAGACCGGGGCAGTGACAGACCCCTGCTTCCTTCTCTCCTCACACTTGCTGTTTCTGAGAAGTGGTGGGATCTGCTGTTGGTGAGGAGAATGGCGATGGCAGGGCTAACAATGGCACGTACCGTGTGAAAGCCACCCCTCTGCTTGCTGTGCACCAGGCACCGTGCGGCGACCTCTCTGTGGCCAGAGGCAGATCCTAGTGTTATCCTCATCTTTACAGATAAGAAATGGAGGTGCATAGGGGTCCTTTCAAGAGGACAGTAAATATTTGGGCACTATGTACTTGGACTCTGGCATTAACTGTGGTGTCAAATAGATGGAGTTTCTTTTAAAAATGGAGGGTCTAGCCAGACGTTAGTTACCGCTGCCACTAGGGCATGACAGACTTCTGCGGAGTAAAGAGCCTTCAGCTAGGCTAGACCTCAGGAGCAGCGGGGTGGCAAGGGCTCTGGGTTCAGCCAGCCGGGGTGGGAATTCTGGCTCTGCCACTCACTGCAAGACCTCAAACAAGTCCCCCAGTTTCTTTGTACTTCGGTTTACCAGTTTCCATTTGGGGATAATGACATTTTCTTCCTCATTGGGGTTGCTAGGATAACATATATATAATATATGTACAGAATATACTTACCTCAAATTCATGTGGTCGAGTTGGAACGATCTCAGAGCTGTCCGTCTAGCAGGTTTTCAGAAGCTGAAAATCGCATGAGAAAAGACTGCCCATCTTTCTCCTGGTGGACTCAATCCCTGAGACAGGTTACCCCCCCCTCCTCGGGGTAAGCCACAGAACCCCCCGTGGACTACACCGCCTGAGCTCCCCAAAGAATACTTATAATAGTGTTTAGTATATTGTTGTTGTGTGCTGTCGAGTTGAAACCAACCCATAGCTGACCCTACACCAGGTTTACCTCTGAGGCAGTAAACTGCATGGGAGGAGATTGACCATCTTTCTCCCATGGAACGGCTGGTGGACTTGAACTGAGTGCCTTTGGGATTGTAGCACAGTATCTTACCACTAGGCCACCAGAGCAAATTTAAAATATAGTAGAGACTAAAAACAACAACAGACACAGAAGAATTTCATGAAACAATATATGAGCAAGAGCCTATGGTGATGAAAGAAGAAGTTCAGGCTGCTTTGAAGGAAATGGCAAAAAATAAGGCCCCAGTAATAGATGGTATACCAATTGACATATTTCAGCTAACAGATGCTGCCCTGGATGTGCTCACCAACTTGTGCCAAGAAATCTGGAGAACAACCACTTGGCCAACTGACTGGAAGAGATCTATGTTTCTTCCCATCCCAAAGAAAGGTGACTCAACAGAGTGTGGAAACTATAGAACAATCTCATTGATTTCACATGCAAGCGAGATTCTACTGAAGAGTATCCAAAAACGACTGGAACAACACATCAACAGAGAACTGCCAGAAGTCCAGGCTGGGTTTAGAAGGGGTCGTGGCACTAGAGATATTGTAGCTGATGTTGCTGATCTTGGCTGAAAGCAATACCAGAGGAATGTCTATCTGTGTTTCATTGATTATGCAAAGGCATTTGACTGTGTGGATCCCAACAAACTGTGGCTGACTCTGAGAAGAATGGGAATCCCAGAACACTTGATAGTTCTAATGCAAAACCTATACTTAGGCCAGGAGGCAGTCATCAGAGCAGAGCACGGGAACACTGCATGGTTCAAAATTGGGAAGGGCGTATGCCAGGGATGCGTCCTATCTCCATACCTTTTCAACCTGTATGCAGAACAGATCATCTGGGAGGCTGGGCTCTATGAGGAGAAATGTGGGTCAAGATTGGTGGATGATCAATCAACAATCTGCATTATGCAGATGACACAACCCTGCTTGCTGAAACTGAGGAGGACCTCATGCACTTGCTGCAGAGGGTCAAGGACTGTAGCCTCCAATAGGGATTGAGGCTCAATGTCAAGAAGGCAAAGATTCTCACCACTGGGCCAATTGGCAGCATCAGGATGGATGGTGAAGAGATTGAGATTGTTCACACCTTTAGTTTGCTTGGCTCCACAGTCAACACTCTTGGCACCAGTAGCCAAGAAATTAAAAGGCACATTGCCATGGGAAAGTCTGCTGTTAGGGACCTCTCCAGGGTACTGAAGAGCAATGGTGTCTCTCTGGAGACCAAGGTGAGTCTGATACAGGCCATGGTCTTTGCAATCACTTGTTATGCATCAGAGAGTTGGACAATGACCAAGGAGGACAGAATGAGAATTGATGCCTTTGAGCTGTGGTGCTGGAGAAGAGTATTGAGAGTACCATGGACTGCTAGGAAAACAAACAGGTTCATCCTGGAAAGGGTTAAACCGGGTGGCTCCTTAGAGGCAAGGATTCTGAGGCTCCGTCTAACATATTTTGGACATGTTGTAAGAAGAGACCGGTCCTTGGAGAAGGACATCATGCTGGGGAGGGTGGAGAGACAGCGCAGGAGGGGAAGGCCCTCTATGAGGTGGATTGATTCGGTGACTGGGATTATCGGGATGGGAGTGTCAGAGACAGTGCAATTGGCACAAGACAGAGCCGAGTTTAGGGCTGTTGTACATAGGGTCGCTATGAGTCGCAAGCGACTCGACGGCACATAACAACAACAAACAACAAGAAGAACAAACCAAACCAAAAATCTCATGTTATTTTTAGCAGCACGAAGGCGTTAGAGGGTTGGGCAGGCCTAGGAAACCCGGAAGGCCAAGGCTCTGGGGTCTGCTGGTGGTCTGTAGGTAGGTTAGTGAGTTAAGGCTGGGTGCACAGGTGCAGACAGCAGGACTAGCCAGGGGCCACCCAGGAGACCATTTGGAAACTATTCCAGCGCCCTTGAGTGGAGGGTTTATTAGCTCTCACCAGGGAAAAGCCATCCTGGATTCTGCCACATGGGGGCACCAGAGTCAAGGCACCCTGAACAGGACCAACCGTGTTGGATTGCCTTTGAGTTGTGGTGTTGGAGAAGAGTCATGAATATCCAATGGACTTCCAAAAGAACAAACATGTCTTGAAGAACGTGAAACCAGAATGCTCCTCAGAGGCAAGAATGGTGAAACGTCATCTCAATTTTTTTCAATATTGTCTTTGGTTGTTTTTTTTTAAATATAGATATATATTGCGTGTGTACCATCAAATCAGATCTGACTGGTACAGGAGGAGATTGTTCCTCCTTCTCCAGCAGAGCATCTGGTGGATTTGAACCACGCATCTCTGGGATTGCAGTGCAGCTTCTTGCCACTAAGCCACCAACGCTCCCTTTAAATACTGTCTTTGAAAAAAGACATGTGTGGAAAAGTGGAGGGTCAGCGAAAAACAGGAAGATCTTCAACAAGATGGATCGATACAGTGACTGTAACAATGAGCTCAAGTATAGCAGAGATGTTGAGAACGGTACAGGACAGGGCAAGGTTCAGATTCATTCTTCAAGCTGATTCGATGGCACCTAATAAGAAATGTTTCTGGGACATTGTAAAAAAAAAAAAAGTAAGAAAGGGGCTCTAAACCTGGAGGGAAATAAATAAAGTTTATAGGAGCTGAGGGCATTTCACATCCACCAGGTGGACTCCCCAGATCTTATCTCCGTTAGCTCTTGTACTTCCAGCCTGACCAGGAGCTGAAGGTGGCTGCAGAGTCCCTGAATAGAGGGAGCTGGGAGCTATGGTGATGGGACCCAGCTCCAGACGCTGAAGGGGGTGCTAAGGAGGTCTGTTATGCTGAAGGGAGAAATCAGCCTCCCTGATTCAAGCGTAGCTGGAAAGTTCTGCTCAGTTCTGAATTCTCAGCCCTCTCACCTGCAGCTGGATGCTCCGGGCCCAGGCCTGGAGGAGGAAGCTCTACTGAGACAGTGGCTTTGACCCATAGAACATTATGCCCTGTGTGGAGTGAGGAGGTGCTAAGGCTTTTTTGACCAAAGTCGGCCAGTTGGCTTCCTGAGCGAACTCCCTCACCCCTGCCTGCCTTTAAGGAGGGCAAAGGGCCACAGGAGGCGGATGTCTCTCACAGCGGCAAAGTGAGGATCTTGTTAAAGAGAGCTAAGGCTATCCAGATGTGTCCAGTGGCTAAGTGAGCCAGGAGACCCCTGAATGGTTTGGGGGTGGACTAGGCCTGAGTGGCAGATGAGTTTAGGCAGCAGCCTAAAGCCCTCAACACCCTGCTCTCATGTGGGTCTTGGGGGTGAAGGTTCAGCTGACGGCTCAGCCTCCATCTACCCTGCAGGTCCTTGTTTTCAGTGCTGGGGTCTTGGCAACCGAGAAGCCCCTGTGGGGGGCCTGATGGAGGGTTGACCTTGACTCTCTTGGAAAACCTCCAAGTCTCCTACTCTCTCATTTCCACAGTCACCCTTCCCCGCCCCCCGAGTCTCTTTTGTGCATGATACTTTCTGTGGGGATCCATGCATGATGCAGTGGATAGTGGGGTGGCAGGGAGAAGATGGTTCTGATTTTGTGCCCAGACTCCCTCTCTTATCAGCTTGTCAAAGAGCAGAATGACCTGCAGCCATTACTGAATGAGTTGATCAAAGATCCTAAGAAAAATCCCAATCAAAAGAGGGGGGAAATGCAGAACAGAATTTCAAATTCTCATGGAATCCAGAGGTTCTGGACTCATCGAGGCTGGATAAGCCCCTGAAACAACTGCCATGAGATAATCCTTAAATTTTAAAACAAAAGTATCCCAAGAAATCTTTAAAGAAACAATAATTTTGCTTAATTTAGTAAAACACACATCTGACTTCACTGTGCTCTTCTGAAGAACTATCTGTAGGAGAGAAAATTACTAAACTTTATTTCATTTGAAAGTTTATGTAGGAAACTTAGGGGGTGGTAAGCTTATGGTCATGAGGAAGAGTAGTTCTAAAAAGGAGGGTTCACTTGGCTGCTCAAGAAGGTGACTGACGTTGAGGAAGACTGTCAGTACTTCTGAATCGTACGCCGAGAAAGTGTTGGGTGGTATACATTCTGCAGTATCTATTTTCAACAATAAAACCCTTTTTTTACAAAACCACCAAAAAAAAAAAAAAAAAAGAGCAGAATGAGTCCATCCAGGGAGATGTCCCTGGCACACCACCATCTGTGGGAGAGATAAGATTTGGCATCTACCTTCTGTCCAGGTAAAATTCACAATTTCTCCATGGTGACCTCTCCTTTCTGAGGCAACCGTCTACTGGTCCTGGAGTTACTTTGTAGCAGGTGTGATTTAGGCTGTCCTGTCCCCAGAGCCCTGGAGCAGCTTTAGCTAAAGAAAATGGGGTGTGGGGGAGATTGCTGGGGCTACTCAGTGTCTCACGAGCCACCCTGCTTGCCCTGGATCTGCAGTTTGGTGGGAGAGGGCCCCTCACTATTTTTGAGGTGCCAGGATGATCCTCTGGTGGGTGCTGGACAGCAGCTAGAGAGTCATCTGACTGGTCTGTGTCCAGGTGAGACAGGTGGGACCCTAGGTCAGGAGGTAGGAGACCAAATTTCTAGGCTGGACTTTCATTCAATACTGTGTGGCTTTTTATCTCCTCAGCAAATGATCATTGGGCAGATATTACACACCAGGCACTAGGCATGCCATTGTGAAGCAGACAGACATATGGGAAGATCAGATGAAACAAGAATATGGGAAAGGGCAATGTGAAAGGCCTCACTGAAAGGACTGGAGGGCAGAGATCCGGGGATGCCCTAGCTTTGGTCCTTTGGGCTCCAACGGAAGCCAAGACTCAAGCTTTTGGTGACAACGCACTGGCCCTGCAGTGGCAATGACCAGGCAGCAGAGGGCAGCAACGGGCCTATCTGCAACAACTCATTGCCAGTTGACTCACAGCTGACCCTCTAGCGGGTTTTCAAAGGCTGTCAATCGCAAGGAGATTGCCCATTTTTCTCTTGCAGAGCAGCTGGTGAATTTTAACTGCCTGCCTTTGGGTTGGCAGTGCAATTCCTTAACTACTGGGACACCAGAGCTCTCAAAAGTGGCCTTTAAAGTGGCAGGACCTGGGGAGAGGAAAGGAAACCGAGACCAGCCTTTTCTTAGGGGAGCAGTACAACCCGCGCCTCTACTCTCAAGCCTTGGCAGTGGGGTGGAGTGGGTACTTTGGTCCATACCATTCTTTGCAGCTGGATAAAACGGAGTCTATATTCAGGCTTCTGGGGGATTTAAACCCACTCTGGAACAGGATTCTTTGTAGAAGAGATCCATGCTCCCACTCCCTTTGTGTTTTGTAAAGTTGTTTGGTAATGTTGTTAGGTTTAAGCCGTCTATTCACTGCCTCTGGACTTTCCTGACCCTCAGCCTGGGCCACCTACTCCCTCCCTCAAATTTGAGCATTGCTACCTTCTCCGAGGGCAGGACAACATAATTATGAAAAGCAGCATCTTAGACTGAGGTTCCTACTTGAGCAAGGTGGGTAGGAGTTGGGAGGTCCTGAAAACCAAGGAGAAGTTATTGCAAACAGCAACAGATCTCATTCCTGACTTAGGTGCCTTGTCCCCTCCCACCTCCTTCAAGACCAGACCTTCTAGAGGAAAAGGCAGAAAGTGCATGGGAGGGCGGTAGGTGAACTCAGGAGAAAGGACCTGGGGACCCTGAGCTGAAACATCAGGGCTGTCCTAACACAGGAGGCAGCAGTGCAATTAGAAAAGTGGGCGAAGGTGACAGCAAGTGCCTAGATCCTCAGGTAGACGCTACGTGACTCCTGGCACGTTAAGTCTTTGTTTCCTGGGCAACCAGCTAAGCCAGGGCCATGGAGGATGGAGTGTGACAGGAATGCAAGGGAGGGAGGGAGGCAGTGCTGGCTGCCATCCTCTCACACGCTAACCACCAGCACCCCTGGCCTGCCTGGTGTTGTCCCCCCTCCTGGTGGGGACATTGCATGTCTCTAGCATTCTTTGTGATTTTTCCTTTTGCCCTGAAGGGCCCGAGCCACTCTGACAATATCCCTTCATCTGTTGGAGGAAAGCGGTGGCCAGTCTTGGAGAGGTGGGCAGCCTGAGACTTCGCCTGACAGGATGTGCCAAAGTCTCATGACCTATGACACGACGGCCTGAGTTGGAGGACTCTAGGGCAGCATTTAGCCTAGGTAACCCTCCTAGGACAGGCAGAGGAGCAAGGCAGAGCCACACTTTCTAAATTCAGGGGGTCGTACAGCTATGGGCTCCATGGTTGGGGAAGGGCTATTTTTATAGTAAACTGGCCCCAGCAGATGCTCTGGAACCTGGTGGGATGACTAAGCACTGGGGAGTGGTACCTTCCAGTTTATGCTTTTGGTCAAAGGCTGCACGCAATGCCTGGGAACACTGTTCCCACACTCTTCCCTAGGTAGTGTTTGCTATGTCTGATCTGCAGGTTAGGGTCTCTAGAACGCTCAAGTTACAGAGGGCTTTGAGCCCAAAACAAAGGCTGGGGGAGGGGTAGCACACCTTCCCTTCTCTCCTTCAGGCTAACAGGCACTGAGGGCCACATAGGTTAATCAAGTCTGCATGTGGCTTCAGTGACACCTGTGCATAGGTGGGCTCCTGATGCCTCTTCTGCTGTGCAGGGCTGACAGCTGACATGCATGAAGGGCTGGCTTTGAGAAAGGCAGATGATTGCACCCTGAGCAGAGATGAGCTGCTGGCAGGATCGAGGTTGCTGGTGGTCAGCTCTCAGATGCAGGGTGGCCCCCAGTGGGAGGGGACTAAGTGTGAGGCTGCTGGGTGTGGAGTGGCCAGGGTGGGCCGTGGTTGGAGGAGCCCTGTGGGAAACCGGGGCGGTGGGAGCAAAGCCGCCGGGGTGAACTGGCAGCTGATAAAGGCCTTGAGCAGCCCTCAGTGCATCACTGGCTGGTTCAACACCAAAACCTTCAAAGCATTTGCCTCTCTGGCAGGCGGCGAGCAGAACTGCGGCTGAGCTGGGAGAGGCCTCAGTGCGCAGGGGAATAGAAGCTCCAGATCTGCATCCAGAGGAGATCTTCCCAGGCTCCTTCCTCCCACACAGTGGCTCCCTCCCTCGGGCCTGGAGCCGGACCAGACCCTTCCCGCCAAGTCTTCATAGCTGTACAGCTCAGTCCCAGGCTGGGTTTTTCCTGTCTAGGGGAATGAAAACCAGGGCAGAACCCAAAGACAAGGCTCATTAGCTTCAGCCCAAGTCCTTTTCTGCCAAGGATGGCACCCCATTTAGGTGCCTACAAGCTGCTAGCAAAGGCTACAGAGTGGAGAAGTCTTAAGTGTTCAACCCCTATTTCAGCCCTGAGTTGTTTTAATGCATCTCAGCACAGAAAGCTTTCTGGGGTTGGGACTGAAAAAGCAAACTGGCCCAGGAGTAGAGGTCATAGGCAAAGGGGAGCCTGGGGTCTCCTGTCCTAGTCTCCACTCCACCCAGCCATGGAGTCAGCTTCCTCCCCCACTCAACCTTTAACTAGACTTGCTGACAGGAACAAAACAAAACGGGCTGGTTTGCATTTCACCTCTTTTCATTTCCTTTGCCCTCCCTCTGGAAGACAGTTTAATGAGCAGTGAAATGGCTAAAAGGCAATCAGGAGGAGGCAAGTGCCTGGATAATTACATTTGTTTGCCCTTTCCCAGTGGAACCCAGGCACCCAGGGCCCCTGTCCGGGGAGAAGCGGGCAGGGCTCCAGCTCTCAGGAGCCAGGCCTCACCTCAGGCCTCTCCCCTAGGTTCCTGGAGCATCCAGATGGAGAGAGGGAACACCTTGGTGGTGCTGCGCAGCCTGCTCTGGCCAGGCCTCACCTTCTACCATGCCCCCTTCACCAGAAACTATGGCTACATCTACGTGGGCACCGGGGAGAAGAACATAGACTTGCCCTTCATGCTGTAGAATGCAGATGGAACTGTGATTTTGCATGTAAAGTCTAAACATTATTTTCATAAATGTCTGTGAACTAGGTTTGTCTTGTTTTGCTCACTGCATCCCCCAACCTCAGTGGTGTTCAGGCTTTGAGGACAGTAAGTCTGCAACAAGCAGAGGGTTGGTAATCAGAGACGGGAAAAGGCAGCAGGTGACAACCAGGGGCCTCAAAGGGAGGGCAGCTTCTTGGACTCCTGAGAGCTGCATGAAGGCTCAGTTCCCCAACCTTCCTCTCGTCCTGGTCCCCAGGCTAAGGGGCGCTCAGCTGTCTTAGAAATTGGGAACCTGTGGCCAGGATTGCCTTCCAATTGCGTTTGTGTGGTCCCTTCAAAAGGGGAACAGCTGAGTGCTTAGGAACTAGCTAGAAATGGGCTGCAGTTCTTCTCACCTTCCCTTCCAAACAGAGTGCACACTCAGTAGATACAAAGATGAGCCTGGTTTATGACGTTCCACAGGCAAAATGTCCCCTACCCGAGGGCCATGTAAGCTAGTTATGAGACGTCAGCAGCCGCCCACAGGCCCATGGCCCAGCCAGCCCCATCTCCCAGCAATGCTGCTGGGCAGGCAGAGGGGATGTGTCGCCCTCACGCTGGCCGTGCTGGTGGGGAGGGGTCACCTTGCTGGATGTGCTGGAAGGACAGCTGAGGCGGAGGGCTGTTCCCCCCCACAGTGGAGTGCTGCAGGGCCCTGGCCAGTTTTCAGGGAGCCCGCCCTCAGTCAGTGATACAGCACCAAAGGCTTTCTCGAATAGGAGACATTGTCCTTCAGCAGGGGGGACCCCACAGCCATGCGCACTTTGTTCCAGCGGTGGCCTTTATTGTAGATGGGCTTGACGGATTTGGGAGACCAACGTGTCAGGTATCTGGAGGGAGAACACAGAGGCGGCAGTCAGGGCTGGGGACCCATATCTAATTTGGGAGAGGAGCATTACTTCCTCAGGTCAAATACACAGTGAGCCTAGTAAACCAGTTTTCCTTTCTCAAAGGGTTCATTTGGTTTTCCCTGGGAGTAACCACTAAGTGTGTTGTAAACAGATGGGCTGGGCTCTTGCTGCCGCAAGCGTGTGTGGCCAGGGTCAGGGCCAGCAAGGCAGCCTGGGGCCACACGCTTCCTTGATCTTTATGAGTTGTCAGTGTTTGTATGTTTGCTAGGGAGGAGGCGGGAGGAAGAGCCCGCTCTAGAGCAGATCAATGCTCTCTGGCCTTGGCCGTGGGGACAGCAGAGGCTGATGTCAGGGCCTGGAGGAGCTGTCCACTTCCCCCCACTTGGCTCACTTCGCCACCCCAGCCTTCGGGGCACACCCCTGGGCAGGTGTAACCTGTGAGGGACCGCTGACCCTCACCCAACCCAGGAGGGGAGCCAAAGGGAGGGGGTGCTCCAGGGTGCAGACCTAGCCCAGGAAGGTTCCTGTAAGTAGGAGGGGGTAGGGAAGACGGCTGCCGCCCATGGTCCTCTGGCCTCCTTTGGGGATGCTTAGGCCTGGATAGTTCCTGGAAAAGTGGCTCATGCCGGCTGGGATGAGGATTTACTCTGTCCAGAGTGGAACCTGGATCCTTCCCAGAGGCCCATCCTTCGCCACAGCAAAGGCCAGTCACCCTCCCATATAACCATGTAAGGCTAGGACTCATCCCAGTCACCTTAAAGACCCTCAAGGACAACAGATTTCTTATTTAAAAAATAACTTTAGCTAAAAATGTTTAGATAAAGAAAAGAAAATGCAGATTATTGATTTATACATTTCATTTGAGCTTCTTAGGCCTGCCTTTGTCCCTCAGCCCTGTGCAGGTGTCTGCATGCCAAGCATCACTGAGAGGGAGGGGAGGCCCTTCTGCCTGTGGTGGGCCTCAGTGCCCGGCCAGGGACAAGAGTGTGACATGCGCGGGCCAAAGAATAACATTCTACAGTGTTGGTAGTCCTGAGATATCAAGACAGTAGGACACAGGGAGGGGAACAGCTAGCATATTTTTGAATGCTGGCACCTCCCAGTTGTTAGTGGTGGTAGGTGAAGATGGGGTGGGAAGGTAGGCTCCCAGAAAGGGATGGTCAGGTCTCAAGGCTGATACCCCCCTAAAGCTGTTCTTTGCCTCATGCCATGGAAAGGCTTCGGTCTATTATCAGGGCCACAGGGGGCAGCCAGCGAGCAGGGGTGGGCTTGTGGCCTCCAGTTAGCTGAGAGCACTCGAGCTCCAGGCAGCATCAACTCCCCTTCCTACCTCTGGCAGCGGAAGGGGAGGAGTAACAGCAGGGAAGACAGCTCGGTTCCATCGAGCCACAGCCAAGCCTGGCCAGTACATGGCAGCTCAAGGACCTTCGGGTGGAGTCACAAAGTTCCTGACAAGGAAATTAATCTCCTTTGCAGCCTGGACTCCCTTCTCCCCTCTCAGGGTGGTCTTCTGCAACCCAAGAGCCCCCACACATCATCAATCCTGTGTCACGATAAAGGACACCAGATGTATGGGAGGGCGCCTGGCCTGGCTTCAAAGGCCCTAGGGTGGGATGGATTGTATCCTCAGGCTAGCTTACTGCCTTTTAAAAAGATGGGGGTGGGGGATCAACCCCAAATGGACATCACAAAGACATAGGAAGAGGTTACTATGTCCTGCTCCTTCAGGACTGCTGGCAGATGGCCCAGGTGGCCATGTGGGAGGTGCAGGTGGAGGTGTGCTGGGCCAGAATGCTGGTGAGGCACTGGTGAAGGTCAGTCTTGGGCTGGGGAGGCAAGGTACCAGGAAGCAGCCCTATGTCCTCATGTCCTGCACCTTGACCCCTCACCTTGACCAGGACCTGAGTTCTGTTGGTGACCCTGAATGCATGCTCAGAGTGGTGGGTGTGGTGCTTTGCTTCACTCCTCTCTAGTCCCTACAAAGAGCAGTTCCATCATTCTCACTCAAGATTGGGAATGGCCAGTGGCATCTGGACAAACTGAAGGAGGGAGGACTCATGGAGGAAGAGAACAAGAAACCCCAAAATCAACTTCCTAGACCTGGATGTACACTCAACACGTACTCAACATGTCCCAGGTCCTAGAGCTCAAAGAATGTGTGAACGTGGTGCGGTCAGAGATGGAAAGGAATCTGCTCCTACACTAGAGAGCGCATACCGTTAGTCTCCAGGGCTGGGGCCTCTTTGGAGAACCTTGGGATTTCCTGGTGTGGGAAGTCCTCCCATGTGCAGTGGTGTAAGCTGTTAACCTTACAACACCAGAGAACACCACTTACAATCATGAATGTGGCCCTAAGCTGTACAGCACATGACTTTCATAGCTGCATACAGCAACTCTGACTCAGAGCCCTCCCATTTCTAAGACCTCATTCTAGCCTTTAGTAACCCCAGTGCTAGAGAGAGCTGGGATACTTAAAGTTTGTAGAAGTACTCTGACATCCCCATAGCAACTCAATGTGATGTCATAAACAGCGGATTAGCACTTTCTAACACCCAATCAGCAGAGCAGGCTGCTTTACCCTCTGCCCTGTGCTAAGTGCTTTACTGGGGAAGGGAGGGGGCTGTGGCTGAGGCCAGCAGGGGAGGGTGACAGAAGCGTGTGCACCATGAAACACCATGGTGGGGCTGGACTAATGGGGGCGGGGTGCTCAGCGGGAATGGAGCTGACTGAATAGACAAGTAACACTCCAGCTTTCCTAAATGGTGGGATAGGCTCCCACCAGTTGCTGCCTCAGTGAATGCAGTGAGCAGAGGGGCAGAGTGCTGGGGATGCTGATACCCAGTTGTGCTTACCGGTTGAGCTGGGGTTTTCTCTTGGGAACAAACCCTTCAGGAAGCTTCGGCCTGTGATTGGGTAACAGACCTGCGTGGAGGGAAGAGTGTGTAAGGAGATGGGTCTGTGTAGCTCCCTGGCCGCTTTTAGGGGTCAGAGGGAAAGCTGAAGGGTGAGAGGCCTCGGGTAGAGGTGAATGGTGAGCCCACTTCTCTTCCAGGAGGGGTGGAGGACAGGGAGCGGGTGAGGGACTGCTCCTGCAGAGCCCTGAGGGGCTCCTACCTGCGCGGTGGGCCATCTTGACGCACTCCTCAATCTTGCGGTGCTCCTCCTGGCACAGGCCTGTGACCGTTCGGGGCAGCATGCCTCCATGAGGACGGATGAACTGGCTCAGGAGCAGGACATCCTAGTGTGGGGACAGGACAGCCAGCATCAGCTGAGGAGCCAGTGCAGCTTGGCTTCCAGGGGAGGTGTCCAGATCCCGGGCCTTGAAGACACTGCATTTCTCTGGGGCTTACCTGAAACCCTACCCTCTACAGATCAGTGCACACTGGCCTGCCTGGAGAGTTAATTCTCACCTGCACTAAGATTTTTCTGTATTTCACTATGAAACAATCTTCTGACAGACCAATTCAGACAGAAGTGGAGATGGTAACAATGTTTTATGCACCTGCAGTATCTTTCCTGGTTAGGAGGGGTCTGCAAAGATACTTTTTTTTGGGGTGGGGGGTGGCTGTATGCATAGAATACGTTGTAATTTTCTCCCCAAAATGGGAAAACTGTCACCATTTCAGCTCAATAAGCCTACAGGACCACAGGCTGGACTGCATGCAGATAGCCCTTCACCTTGCTGCGAGGTGCTATGCATGCCTACTTGTGGAGAAGGGAGGGACTAAGGTTGTGAAGACAGATGGCAGGTTTCCCCTCACGTCCTCAAAGGGGAGAAGTGTTGGGTTCTGGTCTTCTGATGGCTTATCACCAACACATTCCCTTCAGGAGCAAGAAGGATCAACAGAGCCAGAACCAAGACAAGACACCACCTTCCTGTCAGTTCTCATAGGCTGGTGGGCTGATTGCCTTAAAAACACTGAGGGGGTTAAATAAAACTCACTGGCCCCAGGGGTCCGGGCAGGCTAGGGTCAGCAGTCAAGTTGCTAGAAACAGATTTGCTGCCCTGGAGAATCCTTGGCAAGAATCAGATTTGTTTTAATCACTAAACAACTCCTGAGGGACCCAGGCCCCTAATTCCCAACCCTGTAATCTTCAGAATCTGATGAAAAGAACTTGGACTGGATTAATCCGGGGCTA